CTTTGAACAGGCCTCTGATCCACATGCATCATGCTGAACAGACCATACCAATAGGTGAGATCCTTCTTTTTTATTTGGTCATTTGAGTTATCTTATAATTTTCTTATAGGACAATAGCTCTATTCGTTACGGATGTTCACAGAATTTCTTGCTGTGTTTGTAGATGAAACCACAGCCATGGAAGTGGCATAACCTCTGCTACCAAGTGGGAGCTTGCCTGCAAGCTACTAACTTACAATGAGCTGGCTGAGTTCATCCTACCTCGTCCCGGCCGGGCCCCAGAAGCCGCGGGCAGGGGGATGGCAGACTGCAGGGCCCTGGCCGAAGTGGAGCTGGCCGAGGCTGCTCGTGTCTCCCCGCCAGGTCCCCAACCCGCAGCGCAGCCACCACCCGAGATCATGCAGCTGCGACCACCGGCAGCCCTGCAGCCCATGCAGAGTGGCCCTGGGGCTGGAATTGAATGCAGACAAAACCAAAGACCAGCCATGCACCGATCCTGACATGGGCCCAGGCACAGTTCCCGAGTGACCATCTGCAAGCCCCGGCGAGATGTTAACTCTTTCAGTGCTTCAATCCATTCTTGAGTAAGAGAAAGGAACAAGATGCAAGCATGTAAAGGAGCAACATGAAGACATCGAGGTCAGTGAGGAAGAAGGCAAGTCCTAGATGGGAGGGATGACGGGATGCCTTAAACTTGGGGCTGAAATCCTCTTGTAATAGCTATGGAGAAAGACTCTTTTTCCCTGTAATACATAAAGGTATGGGGAGATGAAAATACTCAAATTTATATCGAGCAAAGACCTCCATGCTAAAGTAAGCAGATGATAAAGTAGTTGTAATCTATGAGAAGCTTGAACAGAGAGAGAGAAGAGTGATGAGACCCTGTGCCCCCAGGGAGAGAATAAGACCTCTGTTCCCAGAGATGATTTTAGAGCTAGATAATAAGAACTTTTGCCTTTGAACAGCTCATCTTTAAAACATTTACTTCATAAGTTGACATGGCCCATAAATACGGGTGTGGGAAAAGCTTGTGGAATATGGGTCTTCATGATTGCAGATTTCCCCAGGCAACTGCTATTCGTGACAAAATTGAGAGCCACGAGAGAACTTTTATTTCCTTGTGGAGAAGTCTCCATGACATTAACAAGAGGGACTTCTCTCCCTAATTGAACTGAAGAAAGGCTGTTGTAGAAGTGGTAAACTGACTGAAATTTTAGCTTTTCTTTACATTGTCAATGGGAAGAAAAGGTTGTGGGGGGAGAAGTGTTCTGAAGCTTTTGTCCTGATTTTCATTACTCTTTTTCTTAGTTACTGTTAATACATTTTTCTTTATACCCTTCTAAGGTTTTGAGCCTGCTTTGCGTTTTTCCTAATCCTACCTCACAGCAGGGAGTGCATTGGTGATTGGCCAGCACTGAACCCACTACACTCATTGGTGCATTGGTCAGGAAATCTCAAAATTGGTGAAATTTCAAATTGGCAAACCGCAACCACTATCACTCCACAATGCACGGGGGGCTCTCTGGTCAGGATCATTACATTCCACATATTGATCCACATGGAGTTTACCTTTCCCTAAGACATTAGAGACTGTATGAAGAATACTATGTGCTTCTCAGACTTCATGTACAAGGTGAAATAGAGTAGACATGGTCTGTTCAAGATCGCTAGCTCCTCAAATAAAGTATCTTCTGCAAGGTTATCAACATCCTCTCCCAAACCACCAGTGATCTCCTGCCATTTTTACCCACTAACAGGAAAGAGCTCACTCACCCTGTTTACATCCTTCTGTTACTACAGAGAGGTTTACACCCCCCACTGGAATTACTGATTCTCAGGGTAAACCTGTAAGTTTTAGGTCAATAGTCCTAATGTTGTATTATGGAGGAACATAAGAAAACCTTCAGCAGTCACTGAACTGCAGCGACTAACATGGACAAACCAAGCATAAGACTGACTTCTGTTTACAAACTACAGAAAGGAAGGTGTCTCATGCCTCTTCACATGGGACATGTGAGGCTGTGAATCTTCCCTCTGCCACCATAACCTTGGAATGCATTTGTCTCTTCATATCCTCACAATGGAAGAAGAAACCACTTCAAAAAGTAACAGACAGACAAATAAAAACCAGTGTTACACATCCTTAAAACAGTTTAATAGATATTTCTCTAATATATCACCTACTGCAGTATTAACAGTTTCAAATCACAAATAGAGGGTACTTCTTTGGTGTTTTTAAGTTACATTTTATCAGGGACAACTGCATCAAGCCCATTTGAACAAAGCAGGGAAGCTCTCTGCTGCAAGGCTCTACCCTTAAAATACCCCCTTGCCCATGCCTCAAAGCAGAGCATCTCTTCCAGTCTTCATAGCAAGCCATACCAGCACCAAATCAAGGCAGAATCCAAATTCTGTTTCTCAAATTACGTTAGTCATTGTGACAACTAATTTTTCTGCTCCAGCTGGATAGCTAAATCAGAGCTGACAGGCTAGCTAATACACTGAAAAGATTGATGTCTCAAGGTATTTTGGGATGCATGGCAGGGGAAGGCAGGGTAGGTAAGACCTTGCCCTGCTAACACAGTGAAATACCCCCTACCCCTAGAGCCTGTATCCTAGCTCCACAGTGTCTGCCAGTCATCAGCACACAGGAGGCGTGCTCCACTCTTGCCTAACTCAGCTTCTGACTTGTCAAATGACCAGAAGTTCCACCTGTGGGGAAGGCCCAAGAAGGCCAAGGGGTATTTAAGGCTTAAAATGAGGCCAGTGCACCCTTTGATCCTACCTTCCTCTTGGAATTTGTACCTGAATGCTGCTAGAATGCAGGAGTTGGCTTTTCTATATCTTTCATATGTATGCTTTTCTATATATTTCCTGTCTTTCTGCTTTCCAATTCCCTCTTCTTGAAACATTCTGAGTAACTTAACATTGAACGGGTTTAAATCTGCTAAATTGAATGGGCCAAACTAATGCTTTGAGCAGTGTTTAACATTGATTGGATGTTGTACTAAATCTTTTGCCAAAATTCCCTGACTTTTTGCAGTTTGCTAGTAAACTTATGTCTTGTTTTGACCTTTTGAGAATATCTGGTCGGTGTTTCTCCCATGCATCCAACCCAGGGTTCTTGAACCACTGTATAGTCCTTTTATTAGAGCTTTACACAGAGGTGCTTGCAACAGAGGAGGAAAAGAGTGCACTGGCTGCCCTATGCCCAGACTGGACTATAGAGCCTGGCAGAGTACACTTAAAGCAACCCCTGAAGCTATATAAGATTCACCATCAGCTTTCCATTTTACTTCCTAACGCATTTACTACCAGCTTCAACGCAAAACACCAATCCTGATATAAAGTAGACCTGAGAGACACAAAAAATTCAGAATCAACTGGTCCTAGACACTCCAAATCCCTTAGAAGCAGTGAAAGTGCCACTTCAAACATTATAGGAAAGTCCATTTCTATTGGTCAACTATCATTATATGAGACATTTCTAAAATGAAAAATAACAAACATTATTTCGACAAAAAGATGGTAAGTGAGCCAACTGGGTAAGTCTCTGCTGGACCTGCTGTGTGTGAACAGTAAAGGACTGGTGGGTGATGTGACAGCTGGAGACCACCTTGTGCATAGTGATCATAAAATTATATAGCTTTTGTTATTTGGAGAAGTAAAGAAAGGGATCAGCAGAAATGTTACCTTGGACTTCTGGAGGGCAGTCTTCAGCCAGTTTGGGACACTGGTTGACATAATCCATTGGAAGGCAGTCCTGAGAAAGCAAAGGGGTCCAAAAAGGCTGAACATTTTTCCAGAAGGAAATTAAAGACACAAGACCAGGCTATCCCCCATTGGGAACCTTGTTCTGGATATTTTGTTGAATTTAATTTTCTGGTAGCAAGAACTTGGGAATCTCTTCAATTAATATGCCCATGCTAACAGAACTGTTAATAACTTTTCTTTAAAAAAACTACTAGAAATCCTTGTTTTAAGAAAGAATGTACTGATGCTTTACCCCTACCCCAGAAAAAGTCCTTATCTGACTCTTATGGTTTCATATTGGAGCTGCAGTTTCCCCTGTGCCATAAAATGTCCAGCTTCAATGGGGTGGTTTAGAGGAAGTGCAGGAAAAGAAAGGTCCTCCACCACATGCCAAATAAAGTTTTAGCAGAGTTTTGTAGATGCTGAAATCCTCCAAAGTATCTTTTTATCTTCAGAATACCTATGATTAAGAACTAATCAATACTTAAGAGGTTTTACTGAATAAGTACACAACAAAAAGCAAAGAGTTAACAGCACAGACAATGATCTATGTGATGACCAAAGTGTGTCTCCTATTTAATAAACAGGCCTAAGTAGACCTGCTACTTACAAGGTATCTCAACAGGGAAGGAATTTTATTTTCCAGGTCCAGGAGACATCCAGAGACAGAAAGCTTTAGTTTTGCATTGTCAAGATGGCTGTTCTTTGAAAACAGTTCTGGTGAAGCAGAGGTACTCTCAGGATTGCAAAGGTCCTGAAACCTGCCTTGTTTTGAGAAATACTCCCAGAAGAGTAGCAATTTCAAAGCAGAAAATACCTGCTACAAGTCCAAAAGAATGATTCCTCTCAGACCAAAGCTCCTGCTGGCCTCATGAAAAGTTCAACACAGGGGCAGTGCCACATCAAACACTTCAGAATTGCCACTGCAGGTGCTACTGGTGTCCGAATTGTGATGTGCCAGCTCAAAGCATTAAAGTTCTTAACAGTATTCACTGTCTGCAGGGAGTATGTTACAGACAAAAACTCACACCATTCCAGAAAATACCTTCTTCCTTGTGCAGCTCCTCTGTTCTATGGCAGTACTGTCAAACAGTAGCATACTAGGTTAAGAAAAAACAATTCAAACTCACTCTTTCAAAGGCAGAAAGATACTTATTAAGAATGTGAAGATCAGATCTTACTATTCTACAGATTTTGCTCTGTCCTGTTAGCATCTCTGTATTCAAAATAAAAGACAAAACATCCAGTTTTGGTCAGTAAAGTGTCCATTTAATAAACTCCTTAGCCACATTTCTCACCCCTTCTTCCCCCCATTAAGTTTCAATTTGCACTTAAGCAGATGACACAATTTGATGGTGTACAACTTAAGTTTTTAAATTTGCACTCTTAATGCTAAGAGTACCAGGGGCTAGTATTTGACAAAATTACATAGAAGTCAGATGTGCCCATGCAAAAGAAGCCGATCTTTATATACAGTCCCTATTTTTTCTTATAAATTTAAATATTTTTAAAAATGTATTTTCAAAACATATAAAGTTTAGGGGATACCCCAAATGTATCTTAAAATAAAATGCTTTCTGGTTTCAAAGGTTATTTCAACAATGAAAACTAAATTGCACCAGATAAAAGGCACTTGTGTTGTGTGATGTCTTAGGCAAGTATATGTTAGTTTCATAACAGTGTTCTTGCATTCATGCAGCTGTCTCTGAGCATCAAGCATCATTAAAGCAGCCAAAAGAGATCGTGAGTAAACTTGATTCCACAGTTGTAAAAACATACAGCATTGTGCTCCATCTTTGACTCTAGAATCAAACACTACTGAAAAATTGCTGTCATTCACATGGGAATTCAAACTACCTTTCATTCTCTCATAAATTACAAAAAGTATGTCATTTAATTATGAAACTAAACCACCAGTGAATAGCTCAGTGTTCAAATAGTTTGTGCCACTGAAAGTCTGTATTTATAAACAAGCTAGGGACTAGTTATTCAAGGAGCAGTGCATTGTATTTTCAATTTCCATTTCACTGTTGAGATAAAAGCGCAGTCCTATTTGCCTTCATCTTCTCCAGCCTCTTCATTAAATGGTTATTGGTCATCTCCATTTCTTCTATCTTATCCAGTGCTGTTCTTAACTATAAAATGGAAAAAAGTTATTATCACTTTAGTTTATTTGGACTTTGTGCTGTTCTCAAGCTTGGTAAGAGGAATAAAAATATTATGTTTTGTAAGTGTGCCACAGAAGTTAAGATAAAACTTCCATTATTGCAGGCAGATGAAACATAATTAAGCTCTTTAAAATAATTGTGATGGAACTGAAACATGAAGTGTATGCATTCTAAAAGAACTAGGTGCCTGCAACCTCCCATTACATTAAAACAATTTATCTAGAGCAAGGTAAAGTACTCTCCACCATTATTACATGCATAGAGATATGTATTCTCATCACAGGTAGCAGGCATCATGCTAGTGATGCAGCAGCCCTTAAGCAAGAATGATCAACAGCTCAGTTAAATACAGCTTCTTCCCAGAATCCTGTGAGATCCTGGAAAATTCCGAGGCTATCACTTGACATAGGGACCATTCATCTCTCTAGCAATATTCTGTAGAAAGATTACTTTAAAATATTACAAGTTATCACATTTAGAAAAAAATACCACTTAGATGCTTCCTTTCAACAAGTACAGCAGTGAATCGTAGTTATCATTACTTTAACATGCTAGATGTCTTCTGAATGTCATATTGAGACTTGAAGGTCATCTTAAAAAACAATTAAAAGATGTAATCGAAGATTACAAGAAATCAGAGCTTGGAGGCAAAAGTCAGAGCAGCTCAAGACAGAAAGGAACATACAGCTGGAAAAGAAACCAAGTCAGTTACCTCTCGCTGAAGCTTCCTTTTTTCAGCTTTGAGTTCATCTTCTACTTTTTCTGCATTTTCTGCTGCATTTTTATACCTTGCAACCTGTCCCTCAAGTCGTCCAATCTGTAAACCCAAACAAGACAAAAAGGAAGATACTCAGGTGGTCCACCTGGAGTTCACCTACCACCAGCTGCTCTTCCAAAAACACAGCTGAGAAGACCCAGGAAGTTAAGGAACTAAGCAGAGAGAAGAGTTGGAATACAAAAATATTAAGAATTGGGAAACACATGGGATTAAAAATGAACGTGAAAAGCTGAAAAGCAGAAACTGTATGAAAAGATCCAAAGTAGAAAGCAGACTGTGAACTGTTATCAGGACATGATGAAAGACATCTTGAGCCCAAGCACAGAGTTCAGCAGTAAGGAGAGGACTTGAGACAAATCCTAATTGCAACCTGCAGATGTTAAAACCCACTGGCTGGATTATTCTATGTCCCTGCTAGCCTTAAATCCACATGATAGGTTACTAGACTGAATCTGTGCACAAGAGAAAAGATATGCATCTATGATTTAAATTACAATATTTCATTTAATTTTTTTAGGTAATAAGCTGTAATTAAGTTCCTAAAATATGAAAGTATAGCAGATTATAAAGAATTGAAGTTACTAGTTCAAGAAAACCAATTTATGTAACCTAATTACTCATAAGAAAGTTGTATTGTGGAAGGTACAAAATTTACTCTCTGATGTTGATAGTTCTACATCTATGAAAACAATCACACTTTGTAAGTTAATAACATGGTTTTACAGCTCAGCACCGTAAGATTTTCTCTTATGGTTAGGCTGTGCACAGGTATTTAATTGCAGGAAATATGAAAATATGTGGTGTCATTCTATGCAAATTAAATATCAAACAGTAAATCAATTTACAAAATATGCTTTCTAGTTTTTGTTGAAAAAAGTATTGCAAAAGTGTGCAGTGTAATAACATATATGAAAAAAGACACTTACATTTTGTTCCAAAGTAGTTATATCTTGTTCAGCTTTTGAAAGCTTAAATTTGTATTCACTAATTTGTCTGTTGGCATCTCCTAGACAAAAATTGACATGAATGTGTTAGTCAAAGCAACTCTCTAAAGTAGTAGTTTCCTTTTTAATTAAAATTCATTAAAAATACCATTTTATTGAGAAACCCATACCCAGGATCACAAAGAGGTAAATGTTCTTTCAGCAGTCTTACAAGAGTATAGAAAGGAAATAATTTTGTTTTATTTAGAGAACACAACTACTGTCTCTATATAATGTGCATTAAATCTCAGGTACACCAATGAGATACACACCTTGTTTTAAAACACATGTTTAGATCAGCGAACTAATTCCTTGCAGAATAGAATCAATATAATAATCAACAGACACTGCAAAATGCCAGACCACAATAAACATAATACCAGCAGCATTCAGCTTAGACATCTGTAATAGTATTTGAATAAGGATCATCACAAGGCTTGAACCTGACTGACAAACTCTTAAGGAGCTTTGCAATTTATTTTGGTGTTACATTTGAGCCCTCACATTGCCAGTGCTTTGTTCATGTTCATTAACACAAGCATATTAAATAACAGTCTGTCAAACAAATAAGTTTTCAGCTGAATAGCTTGCTTGTAATGAAAAGCATCTTATGCTTCTATGAAGCAACACTAAATATTAAGTTAAATTTTCATGCTTTGCTTCAGGACAGTAGTCTTCTAGACTAGGTTTCTATATCAAACATTGAACAAAATAATCCCATAGAATATGTATTTTTAAAAAAATCTTATCTGAAATTCTATTGTCTAAAAATTGTATCCAAGTAGTGGCACCCACTTTAGGCAAGGTTATCAACTGAAAAATACCTTCCCAAAATGTTCTCCAACACTGAAAGAGGCAGATTTTTAAGGTATTCTGCAGTGAGAAGTCATATTGCAACAAAGACGTATTCCAACAAAAACCTATCTATACAACAATATAGTCACTTACAATACTGCTAGTGCACAAGAGGAGTTGGAAGTCCTCTCTGCAAGAAGAAAAACTCTGAACAGTAACCATATACCTACTTTGCATTTCAATTAGCTGCAAGTCAGAGCCATTTTCCAAGTCTATTGAATCTGGATTCATGCTATCACTTTTAGAGTATTTCTGTCGTTCTTCTTCTAACTGCATCTTCAGTTTTCTAACCTGAAAAAGAAAGTGTTTCTTTATGAAAAAAAGACTCCCAGAAGTTCAGTAGTTCTGTATCTAAATGTTCAATGGTAAAAAGGCAGAGTAGTCCTGAGATACCACTGTCTGAGAAGGTTCTGTAAACAACAATAGCAGAGCGATGCAGGGGAGTCACTCCCTGAGGTCTGTGGCTGTAGGCCCCCATCCCCATCGCTGGGCAAGTGCCCTCTGCATGTCAGTGCACAATCCAAGCCCACCGGTTTGGTTAGTACTGCAGGGATATCTGCACAGTGCAGGAGCACCTTGTAACTAACACAGCTCACTTTTCAGAAGAGGAGATTGTATTAAATTCCATTTATGGATTTCTTCTACTGTGTATCTTTTCCACTCCAAACACACACAAAGATATTGAACACTACCCTAGTGAGCTTACAGACAATAATCCATGGCTTTTTTAGGGGCCCTTTCTCACACTCCACCTGGAAACAATGGTCCTAGGCAAGTCTGTAGGGCACGTTAATAGTTTTTAATAGTTCCATTTCGTACTACAGCGCCTGTCTCTCAGTTTTTCCAGTAGTCAGGGAACATAGATTTCTCAGCTATGTGCCCTGCATATGGACATTATGAAAGAAGTAGGAGCTACTTTTTGGACACTCTCATAAAAATATAGTTCTACAGATTAGCAGTATGTGAGTTAACCTGCAAAATCTCCATTCATTATACAAATCAAATATATGATCAGTAATTTTTAAATTATACACTGATAAATATGTGCTTACATATTTATATATATTTAACACTATAACTTATTGGCAGTCCAAGAAAAGTTTCTATACTATAAGGTTCATTCACAGCAAACTGAAATATTGACAACAATGGTTTAAATTTGCAATGTCTTCAACTAAAAAGGCAAGAAGTGTAGTATTCTTAACAATTGCTCAATGGCTCTATGTTTGCCCGAGTCCTTTCTTCTCAAAACAGCTGTATTTGAACACAATTATTTTAATAATATTAATTTTATCCATGAGTTACCAAAATGATCAATGAAATAGTATCACTCAGCAATTTTGAAGAAAATGTCACCTGAGATTATGAGAGTGTAATTGTACTGACTTTAATATTTCTGCATAACACAAAGTAAAAGAAAGAGCTTTAAGGATATGCACTAATAGCAAAGTCAGGATCAAGTTAGATTTCAGCTAACCAGTGAAATGAAGTTTCTTTACCAACCAAGATCAAAGTCTCATGGATAAGGACACTAGCAAGAGGAACGACTAATTCCTGGTAGTCAGTGAGGTAAAAACTTGATATTTTATTTTGCTTTAGTGCTTATGTATTTGATTAAGCACCTTTGTGCTTAACATTTGTTTATTACTTATATATAAATAGACTGCAAAATGATACACAAAGGTATACTTCTGAAATGAGTAACTTAATTTACCTGGGACAGTAATTCCTCCTTTTCTCCAGCCAGTTTTCGTAGCCTGATATCTAAAACCAAAGAATCCAATTAAAAATCAGATAAATCTGTAACTAAGAATATGTTTTTCATAACTTTTTGTTCCATTCCAAATGAAATGTTCATCAAAGCTAATAGCACTGGGACCACAAAACTTTGATACTTTGCTAATAACACAACAACCTTCAATAAGTAGCAGGTAAAAGGGAAAAATACTTCATTCACACTGTTTATTAGTATAACAATTCTAAAAGCAAGACCTCAAGTTTTTAATAAATCTTTAAAGCAAATTAAAAACTGATGATTTTTTTAATACTAAAACAGTTTTGTCCCAGTATCTAGAACAGCCATTTCCAACAGAAGTTTTTTCTGATTGTGTATTCTTTTCCCTGTCTTATTTGAAGGTTGTCGTCTCTTCAGGGAAGCCACTGTTTTCCCTGTATATTTAGAAAGTTTGCAAAAATGGTTCCCAAATGACAAAAAAAGTACCTGGAAAGGGACCCACAGGAATGCAGCAATATATCTACTTATTCACAAAATCAGTAATGACTACAAGCCATTGCTACAATCAAGCAACACTGTACTAAGACTAGAGCAGCTAGTCTTGTAACTTTGACAGAAATTAAGCATAATAACATTTGTATTCCCCTGTGAGGGAGCCACAGCAGAAATGCATATCTAGTCTAGTTTCTGTCAATATAAAAATATGTAACTATTACATATTATGTACAAGTAAAATTCAATTATATAGATTTTTTTCTACATGTTAACAGAGTTTTACAGTGGATTGACTTTGCATACAATAACTTGCCCAACCTAAGGATCAAAGCAAGTTCAAGTAACTTAACCCCAAATCCCTCAATTAGTGTCTCTGTTGTCCCTGTCATTTTATGAATGCTTTTAAAACTTCTTTTTCTAATGAATGTGATGGAACACTGCACTTGATGTTCTTTCATTGATTACGTATACTTCTAAAGAATTATTTTCATGAAACACAATGGAAAACATACTAATCTAGAAGATGATGCTTTTAAGCAATATGTTTTCTGTTAGTATTAGAACAGGAACTGAACCAAGAGAATTAATCTGTTTCAAACATCTAAGCACATATTTTTTCTTACTCAAAAGATACACGTCTTTTTACTCAGAACAAATAAAAATTAAAATCAATCCTGAAAGTTGTGTAAGCATATATTCCAGAAGCATCACAAGTGCTTGCATCTGCAAATGTAAGTCACACACACTGTGAGTGAGAGGAAACAAAGCCCTCAAAAACTCTATAAAGTATGCTAGGATACTTTTACCTAGTGGTCCTTCTCCTGCAGATTCCAAGACCTGAGCAGCTTCCTGTGATACAACCGTTATTGTACCAACCACTGATTCATGGTTTAGATCACCATTTGGTGTGCCATCTGGAATTATAACTAATCCATGTTTCTAAAAATGCAAAACAAAAAATAAACTAGTCATACAACAGAAGTGCTAAATATAAATCAACAGATAAATTTTTAAAGAGCCTTTCAAGTTCATTGAAACAGTTGCAATGATATAGACCATTTATCCTACCCTAAGGTCAGGTTTTCAGAGTGGACAAGAATAGTAACCATTCTTCCTCCTTTTTACTGACCTTGATTTCATGCCCCATTCCTGGATTTGTTACTGTAAAGTAACTACTGCGAACATACCTGTCCTCTCTTCATTGTTTCCTTCAGGTCAGCCAACTCCTCTCTGAGCTCATCTCGCTCATTCTTAATGCAGGCAAAGTAATCTTTCTGTCTTTCTAGGGCCTGGGCTCAGGCAGATAGCAAGAAAAAGAATGGCACAGAGAAAAAGCATATGACAGCAGAAAGATTTTCTACAAGTAAATACAAATAGCTCAATATAAGAAATTAAATGTGCTTTTTAAATATATAGTAACATACAGCCCTGATAACTGCCTTCTACAAGTTGCATCTAACTTCATGCTTCATTTGTCATGATTTTTTTTCCAGACAAGTCTTAGATTTTTTGAGAGATTTTCTTACTCAGTGAATTCTAGCCTTTGGTAAATTTTGATAAACTAAATTGAGTACCAAAAGAGTAAGTGATTCTTCTTCATACAGGCACTCTGCAGCTATAAACAAAATTTGCTGAAACTCAAATGGCAAAGATCCTAAATCATTACATCTACTGAACTAATTTCTCTGCCTTTTATAAGGTACAGAAGTAGAAATCATACCCAATGGAAGACCTTTAATGTATCCACTCATGAATACTAGTTTATTTACTTGATGCTTAAGGGTTACAACACCATTTACTAAACCCAAAGCAATCAGTTTTAGAGGAAAAAAAAGCAGCAAACACTAGTAGCACTATTTTAGCACAAAAAAGTATGTCAGCTAGAAGTATAATATGGGTGAAGATAGGTTTGCCTAGCTAAGCTGGAGAGGTTACCTGGCAGTTAGTTGGTCACATTTACTTGACTGGGCAGCATACAATACTGCATGCATTAAAAATAATCCTCATCATAAAGAAAGTGCAAAACTATACACAGTTTGGCCAAGAAAATGATCCAACTAAACATTATGTTATGCATGAATGTGTAGGAATGGACTGATACCATGAAAGAAATGCAGGTGTATATATTTGTTCTGTACTTGCCTCATGTAACTTCAGTATGCTAAATTTTAATAATAATCTAGAATCTGTATACTAGAGCAATATTTAAAGGCATTACTTAGTTTCAACAGAAAATTTTGACAAGTGCTGTTACACTTGATTTATTCATATGTAAATGTAACATTTAAAATAAAGGCAATTCAACATGTATGAAAACAGTAGCTGACGTCTTAATTTTAAAATTTGTAAGATGTCCTTTTATTTCCTAGATCTCTAACTACATTATAAATAGCGTGACAAACCTTATAATTATATAATTTTGTGCTCTAGTTAAAAGACACATATATCTTTTTAATTTTTGAAGAACAGTGGAAGAGATAGAAGGGGAAGTAAGCTCACCACTAGAGGAATTGACACAGTGGCCCAGGATCACAGACACAGACTGTGTGTACTTAACAGTGTCCTGTGATGATGCTGACCTTCCCCAGACATATTTTCTATCCTTACTCCCTAATAACACAAGTGCTGGAAAACAGAAAATTCTGATGGGGGAGGAAGTGAAACTGATATAACTATGTATATCTACCTATGTAGATGTAAGTAATCATTATTCAAAACTAGTAAAAATCCTAGTGTTTGTACACTCAGGGTTTAATTTAATATGACATGGATTTTGCAAAAAATCTACCTCTGCAATTCTTCTGTTGGGGCAGGAAGCAGAAATCAGGACAACAAAGTTCTGCAGACAGATTTTACCATACTTATATGAGCAAAATCTGATAATATGCCAGAATCCAGAGATGTTTGGAATCCTATTTTCTAAATATTCCAAAAGCCTTTGTAACTTTTATACCAAACTAAGAGTTGCCATTACTAAATGAAAATTTGGAGCCACTAAACAATAGAGTAACTGTGTATTTCAGGAATATAATCCAATGTTGTAACTCAGTGTCCTCAAACTGATCTAATTTAAGATCAAATATAAGCACAAATTTCAAGCACTGTAAAAACAGGACAACATAAGAAGGCAGGTGTAAAACGAAGTTCTGCTATTTTGTTCTGTTTGCCTCCCTTTCTTTTTCTGAAACAGATAAAATGTCTTATATGCATTGTAAAATTCGGTTACAATTTTAGTTATAAAACTACATTGTGATGCATAGCAGAGACTTCTAAAGCTGGAATAGAGTAAAAATTAGCAACAGGAGGGAGAAAGGCTCAAAAACTGTGAGCTAAGAAAAGTATGTAAGTATTTTTAAATATAGGAAACAAGAGAGCTGGATTTTTACATTTTCTTCTCTAAGAGAGTTCAATTCTGAGAATTAAAAAAAAAACTAACTAGAAAAATAATCAGTTATGGTGTTTACAAGAATACAAACTGTCAGGGTAATTTTGGCTAAAGGAAAATATATCTATCTTGTCATTCTGGCTGGTAGGTATATTTGAATATAGGATATACTCGTACTAATTCTGGCAATGCATTTGAAAGAGCACAAAAATATTGCATGAATTGAGACAGTCCAATATACAAATGTGAGAAATAAGTATGGAAAGGATAGGGTAAATTAAAGATAAAAAGCTTTCAGAAGAATGTTCAGAAAACTTTAGAATGTTGAAGTTTTTTTATGATGGAAGAGAAAGACTGAAACATGAAAAAAGGTAAGATAGCATAGTTTTTGAACTGGCCACCACCAGTTAAAAGGCAACTTTTCAAGGTGACTTGAACTCCAGTAAATAAAACAATTTCCAAAGAAATCTGCATATATTGCAATATGGTACAAAATTCAGGTGGAAAGAAATAACCCCTGAGCTGTCAAGAGGCAGACAATTAATTTTTAAAGACTTTCCAAATAACTCCCTATTGCCACCAGGCAATCTACTTGTGCCCTAAAACAGCCACAAGTTCAGAGACACGTAGTCATCACCGATGGTAAGGCTGACTCAGTTCTACGACATCTGCCTGCCCAGAAGCAAAGCTGACAAACCCTGCCTGACCTACATTAGCTGCATAGTATCAGCACAGTTCTTTCTGTACCACCCTCCTTCCTATACAGGAACCTTAGGGATGCTCCTCCAAAGGTCACCTACAACCATTGTTTCAATTATGATTCTCAACACCCGAAGTATTTCATGTATCACATCACAAAACCAGCTTGGTTCAGTGTTGCATCCAAGCTAACCAATTATGCAAGTATCAGTAGTACAATACAGGAATGCACAAGTTGGTTGCAGAAGTTAATTCAAGATCATATCTTTTACCACTACGCATGCCATCAAAAGTTTTGCAAAAAAAATTGTAAATTTGTATGTGTAACAGTTCATGTCATAGATTTAATTAGTACTACTTTTCATTAAGAAAGTAAAGTGTGGCTCATTTTCTGAAGAAAAGAAAGACTGCAAAACATTTTATTTAAGTTGGGAGTGGCCTTAATTTCTTTGGAGTACACAGAATTCCTTGGGGTGTAGAGGGCATCCATCTACTTCTAAATTTAAAAAAACAGCTTTCCTCCTATATTTCATTCATACCCCTATTTTTTTATCTTTCCAATTATTTGTCTCCTGGAGATGAAACACTTCTTTGGTTATGGAGTCTATATTCTCCTGCATACGTTGATTCGCCTGTGGTAAATAGGATGAGGGAAGAATAAGAGAGGAAAGAGAAGTAAGGAAATGGAAAAAAAATAACCCAAACATTAAAATAGATAAAGGAAACTAAGTATAAAAGTCAACTGAAGAGTTTATGAGCATGAAGTTACAGAAACAGTGTGCAGTTTAATGTAATGTATTTCTCATTAATTCATGCAAGAGAATGGTATTTAATTCTATTCAATCACTGCTGTTGGGAAATCTTACTGCAGCTACAGTTACTTTTCTTTAGTGACTTTTCCCACTGCAATCTGTGGATAGAAACAATTATGCTGCTGTACTTTCCAAATACCTTCAAGTCCTCTTTGGAAGTGAATATTAATGTTAACAATTGGTTTTATTAATTTTTTACAAAATAATCTTCTTGAAAGTATAAAGAAGGGAGTTTGAATCAAACATCCAGGAAGCAAAGGACAACTGCTGACTGCTTTCTGATGCTATGTGTTGCTTCCCCTGCAAACATAATTAAAATGCTTAGCTATGAAGATGACGTAAGAATTTTAAGTGCTAGAGACAACTTTTCTCTTTCTTAAGGAGTGAACTTGATTTTACATCTGGGAACAGAAGACAATGTCTTTCTGCAAAAAGCTACATGGGTTCAGCTAGATTTTGTTAGTGTTAATAGATGGGGAAAAGACACAATAGGTGGTAAATATGAGTCAAATCTTCAAAGGGACTGGATGTATTAGTGACTATTTGACACATGCTACATTCTACCAAAGTAAACACTCCAGAAAAATCTACTGTACATTCTTGGTTCATATACTTAAACCCCACCACCAAAGCCCCAAACAAGAATGTGCAAAGCTGTTCTTTAATTCTTAGTGAAGTCAAAGATAACTTAGAGCAAGCAACAGAGACACAAGAGAACTTTTTAGGGCTTTTGCTTGTCAGCATTTATGCAAACTCAAAATGCTGATACTTAGGATATCCTTTTCTTCTGCTATTAACATATCAACTCCAGTTCATGAAGCAAAATACTTCTAAAACAGAACTGGGACTTTTCAGAAACCATTTCAAGTTACAGTACTACCACCTAGAGAGCACAAGAATATAGTGAAAAAGTAAAGCATCAATGAACTATTACACAGCTTTTGAAAATGACAGTAGGGGACTTTGGCCTATGCACTTAAAAATAATCAATTTTTACTGCAACGAAGAGACAGTGGGAAAATTATGTAATAATTGAAACTACAACTTCCAACTAAAATATTTGGGAAATGGACATCCATATACTGCTGACAATTCATATATATATCTCTTTTTGGACCATTTTAAAATGAAGACTGGTAATAGCTCTGGGATTTCAGGGTGGATGGGTTTGTTTCCAGAAACAAAAGGGAAAAGGGGAAAAAGAACCGTGTGAGAGGGGGAAAAGAACACACTGCACACCCAGCAACATGGTTGTGGCCCAATAACATGCTGACCAATGTTGCTGTGTATTATGCTTGATTGGTAAGCAAAGAAATATTCAGCATGGCAAACTTCAATTGTTGATACTCATAAAAATTAGAAATAACTGAAATGGAAACTTTTGGGAAAGGCAAAGAATAACATTTGGTATTATCCATGCATCAGAACTTTTAGCTATGGAAAATTATTTTGGCCACACAAATATTAATTCTTCCCTCACAACAAAGAAAAGATACTAGGAACATTCATGAGAGAACCACAATTCTCACAGGAATTAAAGGCTTTTCAAGATATAATACATTTGAAAACCTTGTAGAGACATTTTCAGCTTCATAAATTTGGGAGGATCAGTAGCTTAAATTCTACCCACTAAAACAAGATAAATTATTTATTAAAAATGCAAGATAGTATTTAATCCTGTTTTGTGTATGATTCCCATTCAAATCTTACAGCATATTTACTTGCACAGATTCTATCCTACACTCATATGAACATACCTCTATCAATTCATCTCTCTGTCGAAGGCCCTCTTTAAGTTCATCCAGCTTATGCTGCAGAACACTGCAGTTGTGTTTCTGTCTTTCCAATTCCTGTATTAAATAAATAAATTATTTATATTTATTTTGAGTTATGTAAGAAATTACTGCAAGGATTTGAGAAATTATACCTACCAAGCAGTTAAAAAACCACTGAAGTGGTCTAAATAAGTTGTCCAGACACTTACTACACAGAGGACTTTATTTAATAAAGTGTAGAGAGAAAAAATGCCATAAAGACTTAAGCCCAATACTAACAAGTAAAGCTACTCTGAATATTTTCAACTGTTCTTACTAAGTAGTCTAGATTTATGTACTTTATAAGTAGAAAAAAAAAAAATACCTTTGACTTCTCTTCGTTCTCCCTATAGAACTCTGCTATCTGTTCTTCTTTCTCCTCAATAACATCCTTTAAAGTATCCACTTGGTAAATCAAGTTGTTTTTCTCATTGTCTAGTTGAGCATTGGAAACCATAGCTTTCTTGTACTTCTCTTCAACTTCAGCTAGTGAATCCTACAGATAGCAGAAAAGTTCACATTAGTTTAACTTTTTGATGCATTGTTATAATGTTAAAATACCACCATAATGTTAAAGTATGAGATGTTAGACATTAAAATTATGCAACCACTTTTGTTTCTGAAATATATTCTTTAGAGATACCAAGTAATAGTTTAGTTCCATTATTCAACTTCAGTCATACACAACAATGAAAAGTTATCATTACAAAAGCATGAAAAATACAAGATAATATTCCACTTGCTTATTCTATTCTTCCACATTCACAGCAACTCACAGGGATACAGTAATAATATCACAGCTTCACCTTCTAGTGAAGCTAGATAGTAGTAATTCTAGTAATTCTAGTAGTAATATCATTGCTCTCAAGGCATGCATGACAAAAGGGCTCAGAATGAGGCAACAAATCTAACAGAGAGAATGCGGACAATTAAATCAGTAAAAGAGACCACAAAAATAATTCAAAGAGTAGCTTTAACTTAATGCTCATTATTTAAGTGGTGCCCTATGACCTTAGATTCAAGACTTTAAGATAGCCATATTACTCCAATAAAAAACATTCGTTATTTAAACAGATATTTGATCTTTGGTTTACTTACTACTTTTTTTTAAAAAGCATGTAACTTGGTTCTCTACCTAAAAGTGTGCATGCCTCTTAGACAAATCTCCCCCATTTACTATTTTATCTTGATTTTGGCTATAGTTGGGTTTTTTTGTCAGATTTGTAACAAATGTCAACCATTTATAATTAGAAAACTATCATTCTAGGCACTTTTAAGCATGCCTTTATTTCAATATGCATTATATAGGGGTTGGGACTACATGATCTTTAAGGTCTATTCCAACCCTTTAACATTCTATGATTTAAAAGTAATAAAAATTGATTTTCAGCATCCTAATTTTAGAATTTAAAAATAACTATTAGGCCAATCCCTGGACAAAGTAGATCTGTGCCCTACTACAAATCTCATTGTACTTCATTGCCTGTTCCTTGAAGGCATAAGTAGCACCATCTCCATTTTTATATATTTATATTTTGATAGTAGAAACACTAGTACAGGAAGGGCATGAAGCTTGGGTTTCCAGAAAATAGAACACTAAAACTAATATATTGAGAAGGTGGCAGCAATCTAAGTTTTCTAAGAAAATACTTAAGATCACTATCTGTTAAACAGTAAAATTATGCAATCATTTTTGTTCTGGAATTACAGTCGTGTCTTCTCTTTAGAAGTAACAAGTCACAGTTCAATATTCTGCTATAAGAAAGTAAAAAAAATTCCCTGCCCCCAAACACTATTCCATGCTCTATTCCATGTTGTAAACCTCCAGTTTGGGAAAACTGTATTTTATATTTTATAATTTTATCATAACCACATGTATTTATTTCACTGAATTCTGGAAATGTCTAATGGAGAAATACAATTTTTGAAACCCCAGAAAAAAATAATTACGGATCAGAAGAGACAAAACAATATAAGTTGTGAAAATGTAAGACAAGTGCCATTATAGTCTAGGAAGCAGTAGGAAACAGCAAAGATGACTCAGGATAAGAAAAAAGAAAAAAAATAAAAACTAAATGCATGCAAGTAATTCTGAAGATTAAAACCAGAGAAAGCATTTCTTTTTGTGATGCTGTAAATACAAGAAATCTTGTAAAGACTGGCAAAACAAAATGCTAGAGCTAGCAAACCTAAAGACTTTCAAAGAATAATTCATCTTAGAGTAGAAAAAAGGAAATATTAGGATTATAATGAATGCTATAGTAATTTCACAGGGAGGTATGAAATTTAACAAAAAAAAAATGTGATTAGGGAAGAAGTCAAATTTGATTATTTCTGTCAACGTGGTGACTAGGGTCATGTAGTAATTTAGTTGGCAGAGATCCAGCTGGTCCAATCTCCTAACTAAAGAGGGTCAGCTGAGACCAGGCTGCTCACAGCTCATCTCCATTTTAAGTATCTCCAGAAATCTAGATTGCAGATGGTTGAACTTGCTGGATGACCTACACCAGTGTTTGCTTTCCTTGCAAAAACTCTTTTTTCTTGAGTTCTAATTGGATTTTCTGCTCCTACAACTCAACTTTTGTCTGTTTTTGTCTTTCCCTTGCAAAGAAGTCTGCCCTCTACTCTCCACTGCCTCCGATCAGACCTGCTAAAAACAGCAACAATATTGCCAACCACTACTCCAAGATTTATCAAAGCCCATTGTCTCAGCCTCTTACTGTGTGCCATGTGTTCCAGGACTCCAATCTTAAAAGACAATACTAGGTTGGGGCTTAAAACATCGTATTAGAATGTCACTAATTTAAAAAAGTAAGTTGAGAAAAAGTTGAGAAAAAGGCAGTACCTTTCTAATTAAAAAAAAAAAAAAAAAAAAAAAAAAAAAAAAAAAGGTTCCCAAAAGAATCTCTATGGAATGTGAACTAACCTAGGAACATATTATTCTGTATTATCAACAACATAAAATCCAGTTCAATTCTGAAAGCCAAGCACAGATGATGATCTTACTGTTGCACACTGTGCTCTTTGGTAACTGTAATGGATTATAGTAAATAATAATCCATTAACCACGAGTCAGAACAGTAATCATGAGATGCTGGCAAATGCATCAAGAGTGAGAGTTAGATCCATTCTGAAAATATGAAGCAGTCTCACATTACACTACATTTATGTCTCATATGTCTATGTCTAATAATCTTGTAATCTACTGCTCTTTGAAATGCTTTTAATATTTGTATGTCAGTATAACTAAACCAAAGCATACTTCATCTGAACATATTGCCATCAGGTTTAATGTTTCCTTTAAAGGTAAAGTTATACTTCAAAGAGGAAATAAGTTTTGCAACACTAAACAGCTCGTATTACATATCTTCCCCTTACTATATAAGCTAATGTATTGTTAAATTGAAGAAATTCAAGTAAGCTGATAAATGCGTCACCATCACATGCTCTAACTGATAAATACATCACCATCACATGCTCTAATACAAGAAGCATTCATTTAATTCAGTCTATATGGATATAAAACATATGAAAAGTTCTTTTTACTTTTACATGAAACACAATTACACAATAGAAAAGAGAACAGAAAAAATGTGTGGAAAAGATTTGTAAGCCCCATAATTTTTGAACTCTGTATCCCTTCAATATAAAACAGTGAAAAGCAGTATTGTTTTAAATTTACTGCACTGTTAATTGTGTGAAAATGCATAAAAGAAAGGCATACATACTAATTTAAACAAGTAAAACTAGAGACAAATCTCCTGTGGAAGACTACACTTAGCACAGGTAGTTAGCTCAGTGTGCTGCTGTAGTACAAACCGCAGATTGCACCCTCGGTAGGAGGAAATGACTGGAGCTTGCAGCACGAGCAGTGACTGGGCACTGAGCCTTTGCTCAGCAAGGTGCATGGGAACCTGTGGCACCAGCCGGGCAAGCGGCCACTCAGAGATACAGGGGAGCCAATGGCCCAGCAGAAGACCCTACAGCCCTGTGTGCATGGACTGGGGATACAAAACCCACGTATTGCTTGGTTCAGGGTCCCTCACTGGCAGCACCCAGCTTGATCTCGAGCTAGTTTTGTGTGACTCTGCCATGATTAAAGTACTTAGAGAAATCAGGTAGCTGAGACTCTCTTATGGGAAACCTGTGGCTGAGCCTGTAAATAAACTTTCACTGACAGTGTGAGAATGGTGTGTAGCCAGTCTAGTGCAGCACCCATTGACTCACTTAGTGACTCACTGGAGGGTTTTGCTCCCAGCAGTGAAAGTCTGGGGTGGTAGGAATGTGACTACCACAGTGGATACAGGATTGCCAGACAGGAAAGCTTCCTTAGCACTCATTAGCCTAGCACTGAAAAAACCAATCTGTGATTTAGAGAAAATAATGGGAATATAAACTAGCATAAATTATTTTTTTGATGACAAAGAATTAAAGGAAAATTCATTTTCTCCTGCAAGCAATATGCCTGCCAAAATTATTTGCAGCACATCTTCCAATATTATTCTTTTGGTTTTGCTTTATAATATGAAGTATTTGCTGAAACCTGGAGGACTAATTCTTAAATTCTTTGCCATAATAATCTCCCATTTCTTGTTCCCCATTTAATACCTAGTAATTATTTTGTATATCTGTTTATTTGCTAACAAAATTCTAAAAATATAAACTGAACACCTCATTTTCTTATCAGAAAACACCTCTATATATCAAAATATCAAAAAGTATTAACTCTTCTAACTGTAATCAAATAATAAACATGCAATCTCATGTACATTTTAAGCTGATGCTTTTCATGCATTAAAAGTTAGATACATGCTTTAAAGAAATTTTAAAAATTGTTAGCAAAGCCACTCTACGTTAGTGAAACTGGTGATAACTCCATTATGCAGAATACCCATTCAGAATGCATGCTTGGGAGGAGCCCTGATACCTTTAATTCTTTAAGTCCCTGCATGTATCTCCCTTCTACATCATGTATCTGGTCCTTAAGATCATAGATATCCTGCAGGACATAGGAAGGAACCATTGCATAAGAAGTACGGGGAAATAATTTAAAGTTTAAAAAGCATTAAAAGGTTTACATGCACTTCTGTCAAATGACAAAGCCTGCAATAATTCCCAGAAATTAAAATTGATGGAAATTAAGGTTTTGTTTATAACCGTAACTCGAAGGCATTTCAAATAGCACAGAATTGTTTGAAATTCAACATAAATAAAATCTTATCTTAATAAGCTAAACTTTTAAACCATAATTATGAACACAAGTCAAGATAAAATACCAAGAAAGTAAAAAAATAGTTCATTATTGAAAATTACATCCTCATAGCATTTTCTTATTATAATATAAATTTTCTATTAAAAACAATCTTCCTATTTAAACTAGCTCCGAATTCTCTAAAAATGCAATTCACCCGTAATTCACTGAGGGAGGCATCAGGATCCAGCAAACTGCTTGCATCTCCGCTTCCTCTCCTAGATGAGTTGCCACTCTGAGGAGCTGCATTTACTGAATTGCGAGATGAGGGCTTAAAAAATGGAAAAACATTGTGTCAGGAATCATATGGTTATTTCTGGTACTCTTGATAATACTCTTTGTAAATTTTTTCAAAGTCACAGCATGGCTCTCTCTCTTGTTTTTCTTAATATTAGCTTACAGACAGTATTTTCCATTGAGTATTTTCCAGCACCTGTGTTTTTTCTTGGTAAAATGTTGGTTTCTTGTTGATGACTTAGTGTACCCAGAATATTAGAATTTTGAGTCATCTATCCAGAAGATCTTCATAAGATAGATAATAGTGCTGAAATACTGTAGACATTTACAATATTACTAATTGTTATAATTCTGTCATCCAGGATTCAGAAGAAAGCCTATAATGAGATTTTTCATATGGATTTTTATAGCCTTAGCCTCCTCAATTTTAGCCTTTCCTGATAAGTATTTCTCACATGAAAAATAAATTGTATAGAAAATGATTATTGGCCAAAAGTAAACTAAATAATAAATTTTTTCACTCAAGAAATAAAAGGCATAAACCATTAATTCTGGGCAATAGAAAATTATATCTAAAAATATTTTTGCAAGCTAACCCTGACAAAAAATACAAAGAATACACTGAATGTATACTTTTTGAATTATTTCAACACTTGCAAATTTGTGAATGAACACTGACTTTAAATAATTCTAAAAGTTTCTAAAATTAAAATGTCTTACCCTTGAAAATATTTCTGAATGTGATTTTTCACTCTTTTCTTCCAGCTGAAAGAGAATTGGGAACATGATTACCTTTTGTAATAAGGAACTACCAAATTAGCATCTTTTGTTCCAAGAGACAGAGAAATATTTTAAATGAAACCATTTTTAAAATTCCAGATGTTAGCATAGACCAAGACAGGAAAAATAATATTTAGCTTAAAAAATAGTTTTTACCTCAACTACAAAATAAATGTAAAGAAAAAGGCTTGTAAATAAAAAAGCCAGGAACTTTTCTTATTTAAAATGTCATTATCAGTATCGAGCAACAAAACATGTTTATTCTTTTAAATTGCAAGTATATTTAAATATATATTTCAAGTAGTATTTAAATTTCAAGAGTAATGAGTACAATACTAGATGGCATAACAGATGCAAAGCTTCATGCAGGTATGCACTTAAGGCAGTCAGTGACAGCAGTGTGAATGCCCTAGTTATAGAAAACACATCTATACATTCAATCTCTTTAATGTCACCTGTGATTACATTATAATAAAACTGGTTCAGGTAAAAGTGTGTAACTGAAGTGTACGAAGTAAAAGCAATCTACAAAATAATTTCAATTCATATTTTATCTACTGTAGACGAAGGAAAAGAACTACCACACTCCCTTCTTAGTTAGGAAACTGCTATTGCAAAATTATATTGTAGATATCCACATTTTCTACATTTCTGTGAATCAAAATAGGTGGGATTAGACACGTATTTAGTACGGTATCACACACATCTTGCTTCTCAAATAACAGTTGTTTTTCTCTATGCCAGGGAAAAGTTTTGAAAGTCTACTGCAATCACAGAAGAAACAAACACTACTTGATAAGACTTTTCTTTTTCCTCCTGTTGCGGTTTCTATAAAAGCAACATTGCTTCTTCATGACAAATTCACCACATCCAGTGACGTACTAAAATGATAGATTGCAAATATTTGTCACCAGTATGATGATAGAATGATATGAAGAATCCGATTAATCTGAAGGATACAGTTGATTAACCTAAATAAAATTAGAAATATTGAATCTAATAGTAAATAATGATGATAACACAAGCAACTGAGAAGGCAACATAACTCAGTCTCAGCCTCGACATTTCTTTTAGCAGAGCATTAATTTCAGAAAGTCAGCTTTATTATGGGAAAAAAGAGCTAAATTTTAAGCTGGAGAAATAATTAGTCTCTCATGATTTGAGAATGTATAGAGGATAAATAATATGAATTATTACAACTTATACAGCATTGTAACAGTATTAAAATATCATATAAATGCAAAGTCACAAAGTGGTTGCGAGAGTAGTCTAGCTCTCCGTCTCCCATTTAAGGGAGAACCACAGCCAACAGCTGTGGCTTGATCTAGCAAAGTGTCACCAGCTCCTGAACACAGAGGCTCTGCAGCCTTGCTGTAACCTGACAGACTGCAACAATAATGTCCTTGTGGAGCTTCTTGGAGTGTCTGGTCTGAACTCCTAAACTGCAGTGTGAGGTTGCTGGCCCTTGTTGCACTGCTTGGTAAGGGCACAAAGACTTTGGCTCTCACCTACACAAGCAATTACACACTGCTGATCACCACAAAACATTCCTTTTGCTCAGTTAAATAAACACCTTCTCTGAGCCTCTCTGCCTACCCACTGCATGTGCTAACCCTAAATGCTATTTCAAAAGATACACCTAAGAACAGAAATTTGTCTTTTACTCCATGTTATTAAACACAAAAGTTTTGCCTGCAAGCAACAATAATTTTTAGAAGTTACAGCAGCAAGAAAGAGAAGGTGGCTAGGTTTGGTATAAACAATGTTCAGCCTAAAGGGAGCTGCACAGGAAAACTATCACGATACTTTTCCTGTAACATGATCTGTTGGATGACATGGGATTCTGTACAAGTGCACAGCCAGCAAGGCGTGCTTCAGTAATGGATTCTGAAAAAATCTCACATGGGATGAAGGAACACTAATGCAGGAACAGTTCTAAGTATTTTTGTCACGAAAAGAAGTAATAGTATTCCAAAAGTACACAAAAACCTCCCTAGCACAGTTAATTTCCATAAGAAAAAAAAAAAGAAAAATATTTGTCTTTAGAAGATTGCTAAGCTTATCACACACACACAAAATTGTGAAGTGTTACACTTGTCACATGCTTCTAACAACAGGCAAAATCTCCTTTAAAATAAGGAGCATGCTTTTTAAAAATCCACTCAGTGCATTTTTATATGAAAACAAGCCCCAACTCCACAACAAACCAATTTTCATTTAAGTAATTTAGACTGCTTTAACAGTATTTACTCTTCAGAGTATTAAAAGAAAATCCATAGTTTTGCTGTATATAGTGTAAATAAAAACATTACACTCACACTATTCAAAACTTGGCCATAATCTGCATTCGAAACAATGCTTCCCCTGTGGCTGGAACGACTGAAATAATCAGCAGCGGTTTCACTTTGATCAGAAAAATCAGAGGACTTCAAAAGATAAGGAGAAGGTGAAAGATAACTGAATATGATATCACTGAATGAACAAAAGTTTATTAAAAATCAAAAAAATCCTACCTGAAATCTCCATTATTGCACTAAAAAAATGAACATTTTTATTGATTTATCATTGTCAATTAGAGTAATATGAAAAAAACATAAAAGCAGATACCAAAGGGTTTAGTATTAATTTAGGGTCAAAAACAAGCTACAAAAATTTCAAAAAGTTTGCAGATCATAAAAGACAGATTATATAAACTGATCAATAAAAATTATTTTTCTCTACAAATGCTGTCTTTTTTCAAATCAACACAAATCAAATGGTACCAGCTATAATTTGGGCTTCTTCTCATTCCTAAGTTTAAGATATCTTACACTAGAAGGCAAAATTACTCCCCAAAGATGTATATCAGTCTGGCACCTAAAGAGGTGGGGAAAAATGCTAGTGCTACACATTTCTTGTTAAAAAAGGCAAAATGTATCTAAGTGCAATTACATCTGCCATGGGAACTCAAGTGAAATATTCAACTGAGAAACATTATGCATGTAAAACACAATAGTAAATGGGAAGAGTTGGTTTATCATAAGTTTATTGATAACATTCTACTTCAAAAGGTAGAAAGTTAAAACTAAATACAATGTTCACAGTGAAAGTGATTATAGGAGGAAAAAACCCAATTCTCACCATCAAAAAAATCTTTATACTTGATCTATGCGATTAAAAGCTAGTAAGATTGTCTAAAAGTTACATATATAACTGGCATACAAAAACCAGTTTACTGATGAACATCTAGCTCAGACTATGCTATTTTAGGACTACAGCATTTGTATTTGTTTGTTGTCACTGCTATGTTATGTTCTAATTCTCTGACAACAAATTTTCCAGCTGTTTTTCACCTACATTTATATTTAAACCAGTATCTTAATTTTCATTAAATGTAGTTAGCTAGGTAAATTTTGATAGTTGGAAATTTGGCTAAACTTTCCTATTGCACTTGCATTTCACAAAATATAGAGATACTGAAGAGAATTCTTCTTATTTATTATGATCACAGCAAAAGAACAACTCAGGCTACAATCTATGACAGTATTGGTCTATCATTCAAAAGCCACTTCTCTTTGCTGTTGCTAAGTCCATATACCTAATTAATAAACCTTTCAGTCCCTCCTATACTTTTTGTAGTCCTAGTATCTTTCCTAACGAGTTCATCAAAACTGATACACTTTAAGATGGAGAAGCATCACATTGTTTCTCTCAAGTGTTTTCTACCTTTTAGATCTCTCCTACTTGCTCTTCTGATTTTCAGAGAGAACTAACCTGACTTCTCCAGAGTAAAACCAAAATACAAGCCGCAGCAACAGTAGGCAATAAATTAAGATTTTTACATCATCAGATTTTCAGGATTATTTCATTTTAAAAATTCTTTGAACTCTATTAAGCATTCACTAGTGTGAGTGAATATACATTGGCATTATTGGTTTAACATATACACAGTGAGATCTGATATATATATATATTCCTATGTATCTTAAAGTATATACTTTTAAGGACTTATCTTAGTGTCAAGAAAATCTGAGACAAGTTTTCACAATGCAAGAGACTACATATGTATGTCAGTACCTGTCACGTTTTAGAACTTCATAAAGCAAAGCAAAATTACCTTTTTCCTACACCCTCAAAAATTCACTCTGATATCTCTTGTAGCTAAAAACATTAGTTTCTGACAAATGTGGTTTTATTTGTTTAATACATATAACACTGTTAATAGGTGAGAAATTTAAAAAAGGACTGAACATTGCAATTTAGTCCATACTAGAACACTGATAACTTATTTTGTGTGGTGTGACAAATGAGCAACTATACCAATGAAACTTAGATGATTGTTCTGCAGCAGAAGCAAAATAAAACTCTTTAAAATCACTTTGCAGTACAAAGAGCCAAGTTTAGAATGACACTTTTAATACAATACAGACCCAGAAACAAATTTCTCTCATTTTGTATACTGGTTATCATAAAAATGAGCAAACTTTTTACTACATGATATAACAGTTTCCATTAACCCTCTTTCCAAAAAAAAAAAAAAAGACTTTTCCACATGTACTGTAGTGTGTTTCATGTGCTTGCTCCATCTATGACATAGGGTGGTATCCCCAACAATGTGCTATACTTCAACTAAAGTACAACTAAACTAGTTGTTTATTACAAACATTAAGAAGGTATTTAGAAAAACAAATTCCTTCTACAGTTTACTGTCTTACTGCTAAAAATTTACATCTTGCTAAAAATCACAACTCTGACAAATCAAAACTTCTTATGTGGAATAGAAAAATCAAATCTGTGTGTTGGTCAGTGAAACAATCCCAAGTGGACATACTCATAACTGCTGATGTGTTAATATCAAAGCATTCATCAAATCATGCATAGGAATGCTCACCACAGGACTACTTCGGACTGAGCTTGCTCTTGAAGAATAACTGTATTCAGATGGCTAAAGAAAAGTTATGAAGGACACTTTCACAACTTTCATACATTTTTGTCTGCAGAAAACAAAGATAATGAAAGAAACAACCAGAAGCCTATTACACTAAGAGTGCAAGAACTATTTGAGTTATGTCATCCATCACCACACAACAAGGCCTGAGAAAGAAGGAATGAAGCACCATGTATATCCAGTCTCAGCCATTATTATGCCACACTCATATGCTGCAATTCCTATGCAGAGTCATGTACTTTCTTATCCTCTGCGTTTCCAGTTAGTAGCATACTTTTTGTGTAAAAAAAATATTTAAGAATCTCAGCAGCATTTAATATTACTACGAGGCATGTCTATTTCCATGTGTCACTAAGAATTCCCTTAAAAAACAGCCAAATACTTTTAAAAAATCAAATCTTAACTAGTTGCATAACTAAATCGAACATTTAAATTGCAATTTGGTTTTAACTGCTCTGAGGCCTAAGAAGTTTTAACACACCCTGGGAACTGCAGCTATGCTGTACACTTAGCAGTTTTGTTTTATGGTCACTCATGCACTTTCTCCTGAAAGAGTTATGTTTAAAGGTGCAAGGCTGAAATCTATTTATGCAGTGGATAATAAAAGAAGCTGAGAAACTCAACTCAAAAAGAAAAAAAAAATTACCGTTTCATGCTGCTTTGTCCCTCCCTATGAAGAAACCTCCAGCAAAAATTAGAATTATATACGTATCAGTGTTATATGTAATAGCAGTCTTTACTGTATTGTTGTACTGCTCACTGAATCTTCTAATATTTTCTTGAGAACATGCACAAAGCCAAAAAAGGTAAATCATCTACTTGTAATCCAAGTGCAAAAGAAGATCTCGCTAACTAAATACACTACATAATATTTGATGATTTTTTACACAGGTTTAGCATGTCTCTAAATGGCAGTGTAAGATGGATTTGAACTACTATAGCAGCAAAAGGCAACGTTCCAGACATTCATACCAGTTTTAAAAGATAATTTTTTGCAGAGCTACCTTAGCCATTCTTATGGCACTACTAGATACTCTTGATTTTGTAAAGATGCAGATTAGGTTTTCATGCTATTAAATTTAATAAACATAAAAAAATGTAAATATGGCATCCTATTTAAAGGTATTCAAAGTGTATTTACCACAAACTTCAGTAATCCCCTGATTTCCATCCAAATGCTTAACTTTTTAAAATATTGTTTTTAGTATTATACATGCAGTTGTCATTTAGTATGCTTGAATTAACTTAATAACCCCAGTGCTCTTCAACATCATTGTCGCATTTACCAGATTTATGCTTGTCTGTAAAAAGAGCAGTAAACCAGCAACTACTAAAATAGTTTTAAGAGGCAATTTAACAACATTAAGAAAATTAAACTGAATGCCTCAAAAAAATTATACACAGAAAATGCTACTCTAAAAATAACCCAGAAATGCACATGTAATACCATTGAGCCTCATGGCCATACAATACACATTTAAGGCAACCATGCATAGGATGCTTACAAAATAAACTGGTATTTCTCATCAAATCAGTGTTTAAAGGAGACACCTATGAAGAAAAGTGTAATTTTGTATTTATATTAGGCCAAACATCTGAAGATAAGATATTGTTTTATATTGTACTAACCCTGTAACTCCTAGCTGGTGCCACTGGATCACTGTATAGAGAAGATGACTATAATGTGAAGAACAGAACAAGTCAGAAATACTTTTTCTGTATACATAAATTTTTAAATTTATGTTCTATATTCCACAGAAGTCCTAAAGATTTAAATACTAAATTTTAATCTATCTATAGTAGACAGAAACTTTCAGGAAGGGCACCTCCAGAAAAACTTGTTATCTTTGAAATCAATTTAAACATTATTAAACCAATCCAGTATTTTTTCAAGTAGATTCATGGAAGAGAGTGAAGAAATTAAGTAGCTCTCAAATAACATGTCAGTTTTCTCCAGCTAGTTATTTAAACCTGGCCATGAGCACAGCTGCAGGTACTGGAAGATATTACTAATCTCATAATATATCAGCATTTTATAATTTATATTGAGATGGAAAAAAAGCACTGCAATGATGCTAAACATCTAAGATTTTTTTTTTGTTATTTTAAAAGACAAGAATTTGAAACAGCAACTATTACAGCTGCCACTTGCTTTCTGTATACCATACAGAATCATGAAACAGAAGTTATTTTAAATTTAAAACCTCACATGCATAACAGAGTAATCTGCATGTTACACATTAATTTTATAAAACACAACCTTTACAAGCAAAAATTACAACTGTTACCACTTTTAACTGTAATAATTGCAAGTGTCAGAGAGATAAATTAGTGTCATATGGAATAAGTAAGCAAAACCACATATACATATTTTATATAAATAATTAAATTAATATAGAAAGAGACAGACCCAAACACGGTAGGAAGGAACTGGTTTACTATATCCAAGGCTGCTATAATTTCTTTGATCATAGTAAATTCCACTCTGACGGGTGAGGAAGGAAGGAAAGAGAGAAAACAAAGGTTGCATCTGTAGATCTTGCAAATGAAAGTTTTGTCTTAACATTACCCAAGTGTTCCCAAGCTTACACCTCGTGCAGAATGCTCTAAAGTTTTCCCTAATGTTGACCCCAAATCCATGTATCTTTCTTAAGCAAATAAATAATAAAAGCCTCAAAACTATTATGTACTTTGTATATCATCATTAACTGTATTTCTACATGCTCAAACAAAATAGTAAATATTTTGGTATTTTTCCTCCATAATAAAATAAAAATTCCAAAAGCTTGATAAGTGCAGCAATGAATGAAAAACATAACCGAAAGGTCTTGCTAATAATTAGTACAATTATTTACTTTTTTACATTAGATACCATTATGAATCAAAGTATTTTGGAGAGAGAGGACAGAAATCTCTAATAACTGAATTGGGGCTGGATGTTTATGTGACACTAGCATAGCCTGTACCCTGCCACTATTCTTTACACCAAGTGTGCATACTGGAATTCTAGCAATTATATTTTGGCTTATTTCTGTTGGGTTTTGACATTCTTTACACAAATTGCATATATATGCACATGTGAGGCAAAAAGTTCATACACACATTAAAAAAAAAAGGAAAAACCAGACAGATAAAAACATGGCAAAAAGTAATGCCTGCAGTATACAGCACTTCTTAACTCAAAGGGCAACAGAAAGCAGAAATACTCATATTGCTCATTTGTTCAGGAACTAAGGGAACAGGAAAAGAACACTTCAAAAACACAGAGAAATGCTGTAATACAATAATAAGTAAATACAAAATCATTTCAGCCTAGTCTCAACAAAACATACACTGCTGTTCTAACCTGAACCACCCCCCCAACCCCTAATGCAGTTGCTAATTCATCAGTACCAAAAACTGTCTGAAAAATTATATCCAAAATATTTCATTTATTGACACTATATTCACATGTTAAACACCAAACTTCCTGGAATAGTTTCTGCACAATCAAAATAAGCCTCATGCCTTTCTCAATAAGTCACTGGATTAGCATCAAGGTCTATGGCAAATTCAATCTGCTGTACATCTACATTTAAAATGCTTCTAACTATGTGACAGGGGACAAAGTGGAAGTAATAGGACATGTATCTCCATCCCAACTGAAAAAACTTTAATCCAGAGAATGCCACTTTTAAATAGTTCCAAGAGCCTTTTCCAGGCCTCCAACAAAAGAAGATTTCTATTCAGCTGATTCCATTGGTGGCATTGCACTGATACGAAAGCAGCTTCAAATTGGAGGTCAGAATCTGATCAATATGAGGTTGTTTTTTTTTTCTGAAAAACATTTATGCAAATGTCAGGAAGCTAACAAGTTTCTCCATGATGCTACACACTTAGTATATTTATAAGGAATATTATACTAGAAAACTACTCAATAAACCTTTATGGGAATAAAGAGCTTTCTCCTTTGAACTTTGAGATTAATTGTAAGCATGACTCTAAGAATGAAATTTAGAGAATTAATAACACTATATTACAGCATCTTCAATCTTAAAATATAAAGAAGACAGACATAAGGACTTAAGGGTTTTATCACCTAAAACAGGAACAACACAGGAAATTCTAACTACCTAATTAGAAAAAAATAGGCCATGCTTCTATCACTGTGTTAAAAAGAACTGGCAAGTGAAACTATAATCAAATCTATTCTCATTAATATAGGTTTGGCTTAAAGCTAGTGCTCACATTTTATAGAATTTAAACCAATAAACAAACTAAAAAAGCTTAACAATACAGACTAATTTAAGCACTATACTGTGCTTGCCTATCTGCTAGCTAATTTAGATAACACTGCTATTTAAACAAATACAGCTTTTTAAGCTGCTTAAATATTCCTTTTGGTGGTACTTGATGCTTGCCTCTTATGAAGAAACACAGATTTTATGTGGCATAATACCACTGAGAATGTGATGCCATCTACTATCACTTCATAAAAATATGATAGATGTCTTTTAAGTAAATATATACAAACCAGTTGCTTATTCTCTGGACTGAAATAACTTCCCATTAGATTCAGTTAAAATTTTTATACAGTAATTGAGAATACAAATAGATGCATACACACTTTCTCCCCCCAAGGATATCCTCCAAGTCTAATCTGTATGGCACTTTGCAGCAAAGTTTAGAAATAACAACTAAACACTAGAAAGTGCTTGCTGTAAGACAAGTGTCTTGTCTCCCTGAAGAAAAAATCATATGTGTAGGCTACAGAAAGTGTTACAATTACAAAACTAGTCTAGGTCTGAACATGTGATAGTACCAATTTATATACTTTTTAAAGTCAAGAATTTAAAGTCACTAGTTAGTACCATTACATCTTAGAAACAAAGCACAGAAACAGTCTTCCCTCAAAGCCATGCAAAGTATTAACATACAGGGTCCAATTTTTTTGCCCTTTTTTCTTTTAATTAAGTTGAAATCACAATGTTAAAAAAAATTAAATTGCTTTTATTTCAAAGAATGACTAAAAATACTTACAAGAAAATCGCAAGGAAACATATTCTACTAATAATGAAAATTTCAACATGAAGGAATAGCCATTTATCATGATCTGAAGTGCATTCTGAGGCTGGACCACCTAATAAAAATTAATCTTTTTCTCCAACAACATCCCAATTTATGAAAAGTGAGATAATTTTAGACAGCACTACACTATGTGAAATATTTAATGTGATTTTAGTAATAGAATTTTAAATAATTAAGCCAAGTCTTATATAGTAGATTTCATTAAACAGAGACAGCATTTATGAGGTTATGTAACAAAAGGCTCATCTCCACACAGGCAAAGCACTCTAAAGGAACATCAGCCCCACTGTTAAGCTGTGCAACTCAGCAGATGCAATGACCTTCCATGGCACCTTAGGCTCAGGAAGGTCACTGCCTATGGGGTCCAGGGCATGAAAGACTTTACAGGAGGAAGGGAAATAGTATTTTGTGATCTGGGAGGAATTAAAGCTGGGAACAGAGGAATTAAGTGTTTTCAGGAGGAGCAAATAAATCCAGTATTAACAATATATTAAACGACATTTTAATATTGTAATTGTAATTTACAGACTATGGTCCCTTTTTGTTTTACTAAAAGTATTACCTACAGGATCCATAAGTCACTGGATCAGTTTTAATCAACTTATTTATTTTTTAAAATAATTACTGTCTCTAATTATTATCTCCAATAAGCAACCTTGCTATCAGAGAATGAAGACAGATCACTCACTTATCATCCCAACATTTAACTTATACTTTTTATAACTATTAACAGTCTACTAAAAAAGGTTTAACTTGCCTAAACTAGGAATACCACAAGTATACAGAAATACCCATTACTGAAAATGGCAAAATTTCTGTATTTCAGCCTTGTCTGTTGTTCTAAAATCACAACGTAAAAGAGAAAGTGCTTCCTGTTGTAACTTTCAATAACACGTTTGTACCTATCGAGGCTGATGGACAACCTTTTCCATTTTACTTTAGTTCTCTACTGGGGACATTGGGAGAGAGTGACTGAAGAGATGAATTCCCATCACATCTGTAAATGTTCTTTCTTTCAGCTTTCACATTTGCCATCACAAACTACTTGATTACATCAATCATTGCAGCATTAATACCATGTTCTATAAGCATGCTTTCACCAAACTACTGCTTTGGTAAGTAGAGAAAATGTTACAATGTGTACACATCACACTAAGTAAAAAGTGTGCTCATGCCAAGTTACACACCACAAGAGCTCTCCTTTTGGAGGTACTTGCTCTGCTCCTGTGAGATGCGCTGACATCGGAGGAACACTTGAGAACGAAATTATAAAAATATATCAAAATATTAAATAAATTTTAAATTTTAATTCTATTACTCTTCACTGAATGACAGAAAATAACCAAGGCAGTCAAAGAAATTCTAAGTAAGCCCTCAAAATCTGAGCTTAGTTATCTGCCCAATTCAAACCCTCTTGTTTAGACAACAGCCAATTACTTAATATCCATCTTAGCACATTTGCTATGTCAGCCAAGACAAGAGCAGATCTGAGCAAATCTGTACCAGCTCACAAGTTTCTAAGAGTTGCACATAGCACATTTTACATGTTTTCTTGATAAAGCATTTACTGTTCAAAATTATTTGGTAAAAATACCTGTGTGGCAAATTGCAGAAATACTTAACACTAGGACTTGCATGACATTACACACAATTCAGTTAATCAAAAACTACATTTAATTGCAAAGACCTCTTAGCAAGTTATAATCACCATTTTTTAAAGTCACACAAAGAAATGGCTCATTCCAACTTCCAAAATACACAAACCCAACCCTTTTATTTTAGTAATTTGTCCCTTTCCTGGCCTCTATACCCAGATCAATGACCAGCTGATTTCTAGACAGATCCAAGACCAGGAAAATGCTAACATAACCTCAATAAAACTGTTCTTTAGCAATAGATATATGGCCTAAATATGATATAAAAGAGCTTATACAAAAATATTTCTGTTAGCAGACTTCAGGATACCTTACAGCATTCAGCTAAATATTTTGCCATTAATGAGTAATATATTCCCAGCTTCTCCAAGAAAGAGATTCTTGCATTACACCAAACTCTTCTTCAAATTGTATCTTAAGGTACTGATACCTTTTCTTTCACAAATACTACAGACACACAGTAATGCTCAAAGTGCAAGAAGAGACTGGAAGATTGAAACATAAAAATAAACTACCTTTTTAACACTGATGGAAATAAAACACCAGATGAACTTAAACATTGTATGTTACTTAAAATTACTAAAACTGCAAATAATTTATGAGACTTGAAGTTTCATCCTTCTCCATTAGAAAAAGAAACCAGACTCCAAACCCTTTTTTCCTTTGGTTTGGTTTCTGAAGGTTAGATCAGAAAGAAAAAGTATACAGTTTGAACACAAACCAAAAGTGAATGTCGACTGGACTGGTGAGAGTATCTGGCCCTCTCTGCATCTTCCTGAGAAAGAAGAAATGCAGAGTTATTTCATAAGGAAGGGAAAAAACCCAGACACAATACCAGAAAGTCAAAGTGAGCAACATGCTATTAGCACTTTTAATGCTGTGTGTCATTTTGAATAATCCATGGTGGCAAGTAAACTCATTCAAGTCAGAAGAGCTCAGTTCACCTGATCTGAGTAAGCATGCCAAGATATCACACTAGGGGATATAAGTAAAGCAGGTTAATATAATTAATAATTAGTGTTCAGTACTCAGTTAGCTTTTCTTATGATTAATATATTAATGCAGGAAAAAAATCACAAAAGGATTTAAATTAAGAAAAGGAAAAATAGAGAGCTTTAAAAAATTGCAAGTACACTAGTAAGAAATGTACCATATAATTACTATATTCAGATTTTAAGTAATTTACGAAGTTATTTGAGCCCTAAGAGAAATAATTATTCTCAGTTGCCCTATATATATTTTGCATTTTCTTCTCTATTAGAAGAGCAAAGCTTCTTAAGAAAATTGACCAGTTTTAAGTTCTACAGATACTCTTGCTATACACTGACAGTGAAAATAATAAACCAAACTCATAAAATCTGAGTGATGATAACTAGATAAGGCACCTTAATATCTTTTATTCTGTTTAAAGATGAGAGAATGTTAATGTGAAAGAAGCAAGACAAAAAGCACAACTAATTTAAAATCAAAACATATTTCACATGCCATAAGCATCTCAAATTGTTACAGTATGAAAACATGTTAAGAATCACCTTAATTTTAAAACTATCCCATTTGAAGGCTACAACACAGTTCTAAAAGTAGGAATTCTTCCTTAACTTACTTATTTCCTACAGTTTTCAATATATTGAACTATTCTAAAGATTGTACGCCAGTTGTTTATACAAATTAAGGCTTTGCCTCCAGAAAGACTAGATTTCTTATTGCTTATGGTCACATGGTTATCATCTGTATTTTCACTGGGTATTTAAAACTATTTCACAACAATTCAGTATTCAACAGGCCTATTTAAAACTCTGCCAGAAAACTGCTATTGGGGGGGAGTGTAGGTTCATTTCATAGTGACATTGCTGATTTTAAATATTCTTTGTATCTCTGGTCTAAATGGACAAGTACCTCTTAGTAACATCTGCAGCAGGCAAGAAGAAAGTTTGCTACTTATATAAGATTCCTTTTAATTGGTGGGTAACAAGTCTCTTCCTGACATTCCAGCAGAAAACAGAATGCCTGTGTTAAATGTTCAGCATATTTAGGTCAAAGGATTAGGTACTACAGTATGTATTGCAAACAGGTGCTGCTGGTATCTCTCAAGCTTGACTTTTAAAACTTCTGAATAATGGACGTTATCCAATACAGAGGTTACATCTCCCAGTCCAGGAAAAGAATGCACATCTGTTTAGAAATCTCCTGCAGCAGATGTACCATTTAGGACTGCAAAAGGAAGGTGGCATTGAGTGGCATTAATTTTGAGTGAGATTGCTTGTAAATACCATGTTTTGGAAACCCTTGATCTCAAGTAAAAAAACCTTCAAAAGTACTTCCACCAAGAAATACAGAAACTATGCTGATCTTGAGAACTAATGTATACACAATTATCAGATAGGCAGAGAGACAATAAAGAGCGAATACAATTTTGTAAATAAAATTCTAATGACAGTCCTAAGATTTCTCAACAGATATTAACTGCCATTGTAGTTTTAACTATTTGAAATGATGGCTAGTCTCAGCACGTATTACTTAAATCTTGGTGATTCAAAACATTCCTACAGTGAACACTTTCCTAAAAACCAGAAAAACCCCTGACACCTCCCATATACCCTTTTAAGAGGCACATGAATTTTGTGAAAGGAATCCCTGAAAAAAATTCTAAAGAAATTTCTAAAGAAACTTTGCAATTAAGTCAGCCTCACTCCTGTGCTGGGTAAAATAATGGAAAATCCTATTCTGAGAGGTACTGAAAAACACCTGGGAGAAATTCAGTCATTGGTCATAGCCAGCGAAATAGCTGTTTTTGGAGTTCACTTAAGTTAACAAAACGAATTAAGCATTTATATTCTAGCTTGTAAAGTTATGTGTTGAATTTTAACCTTTTACTTAAGAAACCTCTGCCATGGTACAAAAGGGCGTAAGAAAATGCAAATTTCTGAAGCTTCTTGCACAAAGAACAATGCCGGAGGGGACCGAGGATGCAAAGAACCCAGATAAAGGGGCTCCTCTGTCTCCAAGCCCATCAAGACTGACCGACATACTCTGAGAAGCACCAAAGGACCAAAAGTGCATGCGCAAAAGAGAAAAGTTCAAAAGTTCTACCATGAAGAAGACCACAATCTTCAGCCTCAAGACCACCAGAGACCCCCCACAGGACCACCATGGCAAACCACGCATGCCTAGAAGGGCGTGGACCTATTTAGCATGAGAGGCGAGGACAGGCGGGGCCAGGGGTTGAATATGCTAGCAAAGTTGTGTGGTGTACTGCATATGGAACACCTTTGTGAATAAAAGTGTGGGTCAGACTGAGACTCGGGGCACAAGTTTTTGGAGAGATAGCTCGCTTGTGCTAGGCCCTGACAATACATACCCACTTCATAACTACCCCAGCTTGTGGAGTGTATTTATTTATTCTGCGTATCGCTTCACCAGGATGGTTTCATGAGGGAAAACTCCTGCTTGTCAAACCTTATTTTGTTATACAACAGGGTAATCTACCTAAGTGACCTAGGAGAGTTGGTAATTTTATCTTTTTTGACTTCAGTAAAGCTTTTGATACTGTCTCACACAGGATCCTTCTAGACAAAGTGGCCTGCACACAGCTGAATAACCATGCTATACAATGAACGAGCAACTGGCTCACAGATTGGGTACAAAGGGTTGTAGTTAATGGGGTGACATTCAACTGGCATCAGCTCACCAGTAGGGCTCCACAGGCTCATCTTAGGCCCAGGTCTCATAAATGACTTGGATGTGGAACTCAAGGAATAGTAGGTTTGCTGATGCACTAAATGGGAGGACCTCAAGGCAGGGAGGCCCTACCCCAAGATCTTGGTAAAACAGAGAGATGGGCAAGCACCAACCATAGTGTTGCCATAAAACAAGGCAAACAAACAACAACAGTGGGAGTGACAACAAACAGAACCAGCAACCCAGTGACAGCCTTCTCTTGGCTTGCAGGCACTTTTGCCTTTGGTGCAGTTACAGTCACAGCCGGCAGGGCGCTGGTGGCTCCTGGCCGGGCAGCGCAGGCACGATGAGTCCCTGCACCTGGAGGAGGCACTGTGGCACAAGCCCAGCTGCCTCGCTCCAGGTGAGCAATGGCGGCACAGCCAGCGGGAGAGACAGAAAGTGGCTTCCTTTACAATCTCATGGGAGGCAGCTGGTCCTGGTGCCCCTCTGGATGATGAAAGAGACTGTAGCAGGCACCCTGAAGCAGCAGGCTGGAAGGCAGGCACACCTAGGGTGGTAAAAAGCCAGAGCCATACCAGGAGCCGCAGGGTATCCCGGCAGGCAGAGGCAGGGGATATCGGGTTAAAGTGTAGCAAAAAGCAAGCAGCAGCAGCAGCAGAAAACAGCAGCACTGGGCAGCAGCAGAGGGCTTTCTACAAGCAGCTGCTGAAAGCACCAGGAGGCACTCCCTCCAAAAGGGAGAGGGGGTCAGGGTCCTAGGTTTTCCCCTGCAGCACCAAGTAGATGGCAAGGGTCACTTCCAGTGAGATTGGGCGTTGAAAAGGCCCCAGTTCAACAGCTGCCCTTGCTAGCAAAGGCTCACCCATGGTAAGGAAAAGCAGTACACAACAGAACTCCATGTTGACAACGAGTTCTCCCCACAGCAGCAGCCCATCTCGCCCCCTGCCCCACCCCCACCCCAAGAGTGAGAGAGCAAGGGACGAACCCAGCCCCTCACCCCCCAGCCAAACTCTCACCGTATCTCTCCATTTCCTAAGAGAAAGCCCCCCAGCTAAGAGACTGCAGCCAGCTGCACCCCTTCACCCCATCTTGGCCACATCCTTTGCTTCTCTCAAGTATCCATTGTTCTGGTCTCTTAGGCAACAAATGGGAGAAAAATTCCCTCAGAAAGAAAAAAATTGAACAAATCCTAACCTCCAACATGTATGAAGTTTAACAAGGGCAACTGCTGGATTCTGTACTTGGGATGGGTCAATCCAGGACAGACAGACTGGTGAACAAGACACTGGAGAGCAGCACCACAGGGTCCTGGTTGATGGCAAGTTGAATGTAAGTCAGCAGCACCCACACAGACAAGAGTGCCTACTGTGTCCTGGGTACATCAGGCACAGCATCCCCAGCTGAGCAAGGAAGGGGTTGTCCTGCTCTGCTCTGCACTGCTTCAGACCCACCTCGAGTCCTGTGTGCAGTTTTGGGTGCACAATATAAGAAAAATACAAAACTATTACAGAACCCCCCAAAAAGGGCAACCAAGATGGTGAAGGGGCTGGAGGGAAAGCTGAACAAGGAGCAGTTGAGGTCACTCTGTCTGTTCAGCCTGGAGGAGACTGAGGGGTGTCCTCATTGCAGTATTAAACATCCTCACAAAGGGAAGTAGAGAGGCAGGAGCTGCTGTGGTGACCCAAGGGAAAAGTCAGTCAGGGGGAGGGTTGCCCTATGTACATATATAATTGAGCCACATACATATATAGTTTATATGACTGTGTGTATATATATATTTGATACATAATTATACACTTTGAAATAACACACGGCAAACCATTAGTAAGTAAATTACTTCATCCAAAATCCTGTGTTAGTTCTCTGAGTGGCAAAATCATGCACAACAGGTGATTTTAGCCTACCATCCATTTCTGGATATGAGCCCATTTTCTATCATATGAATGCTGAGAAAACTACAGAATGTAAAAAGAAAACCAAACAAAACATTTAAAATATAAATTATAGTCACCACACAAGATTGGATTCCCAAGCTGAAAACTCAGAAAGATCTACATTAATTATCATGCAATCTTCAAAATAATAGCAGATATCTATAGCAATTCAAAAACTCAAACTGCGGTACAATGAGAACCATATAACATTGAGGCAAAAAATGTTCTGCATATTTTGCTAATTACCACAGAAAAAAAATCCCACAACAACCAAGTATGAGCATTAATGGATCTGAGTGTAACCATGATAAATAATAAATTCTCAATGTTTTATATGCAATGTCAAAACTGGATTGCGACAACCATGCAATAACCAGACTGCTGAAAAACCTAGTTTCTAGAATTTTTTTTCTCATGAAATGCAAACTTTTTTTAGGAGAAACATGTGGAGCAACACACGACTGTATATGTAAATATTACCCCATTTAAATAATATTTTTAAAAGAAATATCTTGACAACAGGTATTTACTGTGAATCCTTTCAGTATAATCTGATTCTAAAGCTGAAAATACTTGCACAAAACTGAATTACACTAAAAGACAAAATCTTATGGAAATGCAGAAATAAGACACATTACGAATTTTTGTAATGGTTTGCAATAATTCCTGGTGAGTTACAATACCTCTTTTTGCTGACGCTCCAGCTCTCTCATACGTATATCTCTTGCTTCTGCTCGAGCTGCCCGTTTTGCTGCAAGTCTGGCTTCTGCCTACAAGTAGATGGAAAATAATTAAAGTTTAAAGAAACTTTTTAGAATAAACTCAAATCCCTTCACAAGTACACATTAAGATTTTAACATCATAATACAGAAGTAATAAAGAATGACATTTCAAAAAGAATATGTACCTAACTCTTTAAAGATAGCATTGCTAGGCGAAAGAATTAGATAATCATTTAAAAAGTCATAGAATGGCTTGGCTGTGAAGGGACCATAAAGATCATCTAGTTCCAATGCCCAGATCAGGTACCATCAACTAAAGCAGGCTGCTCAGCACTCCATCCAACCTGGCCTTGAATAGTTCCAGGTATGGGACATCCACAACTTCTCTGGCCAACCTGTTCCAGTGGCCAGGAACCCACCATTCCTCTAGTAAGACTTTCCTCCTAAAATCTAATCTAAACCTACTCTCTTTTAGTTTAAAACCATACATTCCCCTGTCCTAATGCTATTTGCCTGTCTAAAAAAAACTCACTCTCCCCGTTTTTCATAAGCCTGTTTCAGGTACTGGAAGGTCAGTGAGGTCTCCCCAAATACTTCTCTTCTCCAGGTTGAACAACCCCAGCTCTCTCAGCGTGTCCTCATAGGTGAGGTGCTCCAGTCCTCTGAGCATCTTTGTGGCCACTAACAACTTCTCCCAGTCTGGACTCACATCTGAGACTGCCCTGACTGACGTGCAGTATCTTGTACTTGGACTTGTTGAACTTCAAGAGTTTTTCATGGGCCCAAATTTGTCCAGGTGGCCCTGGATGGCACCCCATCCTTCTGTTGCACCAACTGCACCGCTCTTGTTCACATATCTGCAAACTTGCTGAGGGTACACTGAATCCCACTGACAGTGTCGTTGATAAAAGTATTAAACAGCCCTGGGAATACGATGGAATAAATTTTGCCATATAGCTAAAGTTTCAAGAAAGCACAAGCTCAGTTTTTTTCTTGTTTGAATAATGAGTTGACAAAAATTCTCTCAAATTCTTTAAATATTAAACCACTGAAGACAGGTTTTCCACTGAAGATTCCAGTTTTCTATATAATGTTAGTTAAAAGCTTTTTGAGAGTCAGCAGCAGCTAAAAACTCAGAACTCCTAACAACCAACCAGTTATAGAAGTTCTTAAAATGTAAAATTCCAATGGATTTTTGACTTTTCCTTGCTTTTGCCATTGCCACAGCAAATGTTTATGTAAAACATTGGAAACCTATAAAACTGTTTTACTGTGCTTCAGGAAAATGAAACAGGTATATAACTTGGGACTTTAACTTCAAATTATGATTAAACTACAGGCACAAAAAATACCAAACAATGACAGGACAGAAGGCAGACTCACTATAGTTTTGTTACTCAAAATAGTTTGTCCTAACTCCAAATGACTCATGAAGATTATTTTTTCTGAATTTTCCATATGCAGATAAAATAATTCCAAGGCTGTGTCAACACTCTTGACTGCCATAATGTAATCTTTTTTCAAAGCAGCATAAAGCTACTCTTCTTTCCACCTGATGATAACACACAATTAAAGCAAGGAAATTGCCTTGCAAGAGGAAGCACTTCCATTTGTAGCCCATTATTGCTCTGTTGCATACAAACTGTCACACCAACAGGTATGCAGCACAGAAGGAAAAAGGACTCAAAGAGCTGATAAGTTTGGGTTTAGCTTTGTCTATAAAATAGCAGATATATGCATTTGGCCTTTATGCTCAGGCAAGGCTTTACTGTTAAGTTACAAATTTAATACAAAGATAATACTGTTAACATACAAAGTTAATTGATTTATTTATTCACGTTAAAAATCAATTCACATTTCACCACTCTCTCCTAGTCGTACACCCAGAGATCTAACTTTAAATTCCTACAGTAGAAGGGAAGCTCCATTTCTTATCATTTACTAAACCCTTGATAAAACACAAGTGGATTTACAAATATTTGTCATAAAATGGGTGCCAGATATAGGTGGCAGGAGAAAAAGAAAATATTTTTAGATTTTTTTTTATGAAATGAGCTAATATTACATTAATTTTTAACCTGAGCAACTAGATTCCTGTAAAAAGCACATAATCTCAAAAAAGACAAAAGACAAGTTAACTAAAAGGACAGCTCTCAGGCTTCCTTCACTATACTTCAGAGCAAGAGACAAGTTGCAGTACCATTAGAAAGGTCATAAGGTCATAATACCAAGCAATTCTTAATTCTCATCAGATCTGTTAGAGCACAGGCCTCATGCTATTGATGTAGCAGTCACACAAGTCTTCATAGCTACGTTATTGAAATTTAAAATTAACAATAATAGAGAAACAACCATAATGCAAAAGGACATAGTTTTCTTTCCAGGTGCTGCTATTCACTCTGTTGCCTTACTGAAAAAGCCCATAATAATTGTGAAACAAATTACCACCAAAAAATCCTTAACAAAAAATTTCATCAGCTGCATTGAAATAAAGTCTTTAAATATCTGCTAAGAAAAATGTATAGCCACAATAACTTTGGATAAAGTTTGGATTGTAGGAGCAGAACAGAAACACTAGACTACTTGTTTCGGGTTTTTTTTTTTTTTTAAATAAACCAGCAAAAGTAGAGGCAGTAATGTTATCATGCCTTTCAATTCAACTAGTATTTGACTTGAGAGAGCATATGAAATACATCCCTATTCATTGCTCATAGTAGCTTGGGAGCCAATACAGATTGCTTTCTACAGCCTGCATTAAACAAAGTCCAGTCTTAGAAAAGGACAGACTGGCCACTACAGTCTTGATTTCAGATTCACTGGTCATTATTCTCTATACAGTCTTTAGACCAGGCACACATTAATAAAATATATTCTGATAAATATCCATTTTAATATTATCTAACTGAAATACAGCTTATTATAAAGTGATATACCAAGTTTCTATTTTTCTGAAGTAAAAATTCAACTGTGTATTGTCCAAGATCTAGCAACTCTGACACTATTTCAAAAGCTTCCTAAGGGAACTTTCAACTGGTAAAAAGAAATGGGATAGTTGAATTTTCTTTAAGACATTAACTGCAAATAAGACATGAGGTATTTAAACCTGGTACACTTACACTAGTGGCTTAAATGGAAAGAATGTCAAAATCTGGAGGGCAAACAGCCATTGGGTACCAAGATACAATAATTCAGCATGGCATTTATTCAGAGAATTTATCAAAAAAGGACATAGAAGACTACAGAGAAGATCTTTGTAACAAATTAATTGGGTAGGAAAACAAGTAAGAGGTCCTTGAGAATTTACTTGGTAAAGAAAAAAATAATTAACTAATTATTGATTTATAACTAAATCTCTAAATTCTCTTTTGTATAGGAACACATTCACACTATTCATATTTACCTTCTACTCTGGGACAAATTTGTGGTTTTAAACCAATCTTGTATTTCTTTGGGCATTAGCTATGGTCTAAGTAACAAAACAAAGCAATCTGTTCACCACTGAGTTCTGGAATTCTTCATTTCAAAATAAGTAACAAAAACCATTACCTGGACAAAAAAAACACCCAGTGTTTCTTAGTGCCTGCATAAAAAACATTTCATTCTAGAAGATTATTATCCTGCCTGTTTTCAAGCAGTTAAGCAGTACCTTACAGCAGTATTCAATTTGATTGGTTTATTTTATTGCATATATTTAGTAAATACAGAAGTAGCAAGACAACGTTCTTCTTCCAGGGGGTGACACAGTCAGTTCCCTGATTTTCACCTAAAAACCAATTATTATAAGCTATTTATAGTCATTTAGAAAGCCATCTCTACTTATTCAATTTTTTCATCTTTGTTTTTAAAAACTTATTCTACCAGAATCTTTTGAAAACTTTTAGCTCAACTTTCAAGGATAACATGTAGTTCTTCAGTTAAATCAAAAATATTTTTGGAAAGAAAGAAAGAAACAAAGCAAGATGAGACTTTAACTTGAATGCCTTTGTAAAGATTGAGTCTGAAGTCTCTCCTTTCTGATGTATTTTTCTTAGACTCTTCATAGCGACAATCATGTTTTTTCCTAGGTAAGCAGTATGATATTAACATAGAATTTATATGGTAGAGGCTTCCTTCCATGTTGAGCAAAGAGAAGCATAACATCTAACTACATAGTGTAGATAGGCATATTTTTCCTTCCCTTGCCTGCAAGAAGGAATTCACTAGAAAGCAACAGTATTTTATTTTAAATTTTTATACCCTGGAGAAGGTGATTCTTTAATTAGCTCGGCTTCAGCATAAAAGCTTCATAAGGTTAAAATATAGGCTATCCTAAAACGTTATCCACCTCTGAAAAATTATTTTGTCATCATGGGCTGATGTATACATATAACACAGAACCGTTTCTCTCTCTGCCAAGGGATATGCAGTCCTGCAGTTTCTAACGCAGGAGGCCCGGTTAAGGAGCATTTAATTCTTCCACCAGATGGCAGCGTTAAGGGCACTGACTGCCCCTGCAGGAACTGCTTCTCCTGTCTGCCACAGATGCATGGAACGGCTCTAGGACACCCTGCCAGCTCTGGCTAAGCATCAAGGTGAGCATTTTAAAAATGTTAATAGATAACTACATATAGCAACTTAATTTCACCTTTTCTCATCAAGCAAACAAAGGATTCTATGCCCAATTCCAACACCCCATGGCAGGGGGGTTGGAATAGGATCATCTGTAAGGTCCTTTCAATTCAAACCATTCTATGATTCCTTCTGCTGCTCAATTCTTCTGTATTCTCATTCCCATGCTTTTTGTCAAAATCTCCATACTGTCTCATGAAATCAAGGCAACACCACCACTAACGTGCCTAAAGTATTTCTTATGGCTCCTCAGAAACCTCTTTTCCACTTATTTCTCATGTCTCTGCCCCAGTTGCCTACAAAAACCAAAACATTTAAAAATATTAAACTTTTAAAAACTCAGCTTTTTCTATCATGGCAATATCATAACATTACATCTCTATTAAAGTAAGAACTGCACTCTACTCACAGTTGAGCTACTACAAAGTGAATTTTAAATCAAAATGAATCTTTATTTTCTCCCATGAGAAAACACCTAAAGTTTTCCATGTTCTTGCTAGATAGTGAAAATAGTCATAAGAACTGAGAGTGCCTGAAAAAAACCCTACCAAACCAAAACACAGAGACAATATCCTGCAAGGCTGAAACCCAGTGAACACTGTTGCAATGTTGCTTGTCCACAACCTCTAGCTCTCTGTCACCTAGTTAACACAGCACTGAATAATGGAAGAGTTGCTGATGATAACATCCAAAAAAAGGCTATGAATGGTAAATCCTGATTGTCCCTTCAAACTCCTGTTTAGCAGGTTGAGGATGGTGAGATGACATGCGTCAGACTCTTTATCACTCTGTGCCATGATATTTATTGTATCTGAGCATGAACCACAGGCAATACAAGAACCCAGAAGTGACTGAAACCTCTGTTCTCACATAATCAGACTGGTTTTGGAGAAAGAGGTCTCATGTAATCCTAAAAAATGGTGATGACAGATTACTGCTATATATTTAAAATTAACAATTTGTCTGCAAATACAAAGACAATTGAAGCAGCCAATGATATTCTGTCTTTACATGAATTTAATAGAAAATCCCCACAACTCACATAGAGAGAACATCTTGAGATCATATCAGGTGTATTCAATGTACACTGTGAAAATAACCTTGAGAAAAGGAACCTCAATTTTCATTTACATAGTTACATGGGTATTTTCAAGCAGTTACATCTTTTTGTTTAACAAATGGGAATATAATGCTGCCAGGAGCCTGAAGTTACACTAGACAATCATTACCTGTACTTTGGGAAGCTCAAACTTTGCACAAGATACATGAAACTGTCTTCTACACCAGGTGACTTAGCTTTCTAAGATTGACAAAGAATAACAGTTTCAGAATCCATTACAAAAGCTAGAGAAAGAACCAAAAGGAACTCTATATTTTCAGGAGATAGGCTTTTTTTTTTTTTTCTTTTAAGAGATAAGCTGACTTTCAATTAACCTTGCTATAATTAGAATACACTTGCCACTACTCCATTTTAATGATGTTAGGTGCTTTTACACCCACAGTTCCATTATTTCCTTGCAGGGAACACAGCTACACCTGCTCCTGCAGCTTTTGAAAAAAGCATGTGTGTTTTAAATTTTGTCTCTTTACATAATGAGTAGGAAAGAAAACGCAAGTGTTAGGGAGGAGAAGTGTTCCAAAGGTTTTATTATTATTATTCTTTTAGTTTCTGTTAATACAGGTTTTCTTTATACCCTTTTGAAGTTTTGAGCCTGCTTTGCCTTCTTCCTAATCCCATCTCACAAGGAAATAAGTAAGCATATTCTAGTAAGTGCACTTGCCTTTAGCCAGCACTAAACCCACCACATTAATTAGTGTGTTGGCCAAGAAATGTCAAATTGGCAAACCAAAACCCTCAGACAAAATTGGTGTTCAAACTAAAACTGCCACAGCATGATACACTGTTGCACCAGGATAAGACTGCCGAACTGATCAAATGCAAATAATCCCACTTCAGTCATGGTCAAGTAGGGAGAGTGCATTGCTTCCAGGGAAGGACGCACAGATAGATTACTGTCCCTGGAATATGTACATCACCTTTACTCTTCCTCAGTTCCGGTGAGCAAGGAAATTCAATGCTGGGAAAAATAATACACCATAGTATATAAAGTAGGTCCCTAAGAAAGAGGTTTAGCAACTCAGAAGTTCTTGGAATAAGGTAGAAATTCACTCTATTGTTGATGTTTTAGCATATTTGTGTGTAACACAGAGACATTGTAAAAATGCTTGTCTCAGTGCATGGTCCCACACCAAGGAAAAGATGTGGAAGAGCTCTCTACACAACAGAAGTTAAGTACAAGAAATAAAGGGGAGGGGACAGCCAACAGAAGAAAAATTTTCTGATGTGAAGGAAAGATGGGAAAAAATTGAAGAAATATCAAAGAGGAAGCAGTCTGACTTTCATCCCTACTTCAGAATTCAAGACACTACTAAGTTAGCAAACCTCTCTGGCAATGTTGCTTAGAGCTTCATCTTCTGCAGAAAATCTGTCTTTCACTGGAGTTCTCTTCCGTCCTGATCCAGGAGTTCCCATTTTTATTCTCTGAACCTGTATTTGAAAACACAGATAGGACAAAGCTCAATTTTAATTAAGATCTGGAATTAAAAACAATCAATCAACCTACACACCAAAATGTGCTAAGTTTTCCAATCTTTAGCTACATAATACTCAAGACATTTACATGCAATTGACATGTAATCAAAAAACTTTATCACAAAAGTTTGTGGCAGCACTACAGAACACCACTGCATCCTTCAAGGTGCACATACAGAATTTTTCTACTGAACAGAACCCATCAGTTTACCTATAGCTTCAAAGTCAGGCACAACTGGAAACTGCTCCTGGCTCAAAAAGGATACCTCTGTTCTCAGTCAATTTATGTAACTCCTGAAAAGATCTATCAAGTTACAGATGTGGAAAAAAAAGGCCCTATGGACAACAAAGTGTTCAAGAATTAAATTTACATGATCATTAGAGTTCTCCTCAACACAGAAGAGACTCAGCAGACAAACTTTACTAAGCATCCAGGTAGGTACATATTAATTACTTACATTTTAACACAGCACTTCTCATGCAACTGAACTGCTGTCTTCAAAAGCAGAAGTTTTACTATAGCAGAAACAGACACCTTTATGCAAAAAAACCCCACTATTTGCCTAACAAGATTCTCAAACTGGGAAATAAAGAAACATACTACCATCATATACCCAGAATATATAAGATACCTTTACTTTTCCTCCAGAAATCTTTTATGAATTGCAAGCATATAAAAATGACCAACAAAACAAAGCACAGCCCATGTGAAAAATGTTACACACATACACACAAAAAACCTTCAAAAACCACAACTACGTAAGTTTTTTTCAAATAGCCTAAAGAAATCCTGTTTCCAGACATCCAGGTCCTCTGAAATGTGGTAGTCCAGCTAATTGACAAGATAAGTAACCTACACATGGTTTGAGAAAACACCTTAGTTATAATAAACATTTCTAATTTTATTATAGGAAGAAGAGATCTAAAAGGTAAATAGTATTGCCTGTCCTTTTGAAACTGAACTGGTACAAGAACTACCTTTCTTACTGGATCTAACTAGCAAAGACTCAGGAATTGATTATAGTTTAGTCAAAAGGGAAGGAGGAAAAAACCCCAAAGTGATGGTTATTTTTGTACAAGCAGAGTATTTACTTTATTACTTTTACACAGCAATAACAAAGCCAAAATATATTGTGGTATTTTCTGGCACTGAAAGATATCAAGTAGCATCACTGGACTTTTTTTTTCCTCTTATATTTTAGCTTTTACACCTTTTCATCACCCTTCCTTTAATAACTTCATACTATTCTCCTTTCTTTTCCTTGCAAGCAAGAAGATTTTTTTACTGTGCTTCAAATTTTACAGGTACTTTACTATTCTTCATCTGCTCAATATTGTCACTGATAATCCATTTGGCAAAAGTCTGTATTTTTAGTCTTAAAAATAAGCAAGTAAACTTATGCCTTGTACTCAAGAAAATTTAGACAAATATATGCACAGTTTGGAGATCTCCGTGGCAAAGGTTTAAACTCAGAACTACAGGCTGCTGTCCACATTCTGAATGTCTCAAAAAATCCGCATCTTTTTTCAGTAATTCTTATTGGCTGACTTCAAATATTAAAAGCAGACAGTGCCCAAACTGCAAGTTACATGAACACAATATAATACTACCCCTACTACAGAAGGCTTTAACAACATTACACACTAGCCACAAGAAAAATCATTAAATGTTTATTACAATAAATAGGTTCATAAAAGAACAGAAGTCAATCTACTAAAAGTCACAAAGCATGTAATTATTTTAACTGACACATTAAAGGCTATATCTCTCTAAAAAGTATTTACCACATAAGTAAAAACTGCAGAATAACTGCACATACCATAGACTTGAACTGCATTTGTTGACATCCTTTAAACAACACACCATTTCTAATAGACAACAAACTTTGGTTTGTTAACTCAGTGAAATGCTCTTAGCTGGCACACTGATTTGGGGAATGTAATGGCTTATAGCTAAAATATAGGTAATTTTACTATAGTTATATTCAGTTTACATGACGTACTAATCTACAGAGTAGTCATTTCATAAAAATTAGATACTGATGCTTTAAATGAGGAAAACACACTTCATCTCAGTCACTGTGGAGGAAGGCAAATGTGGCATCCTCGCCAGCAATCTACACTTCTCACCTAGAACAAGGACAGAACTCCTGACTGAGTCCAAACACAAGAGAGAACATGACAGATTACCCAGAAGGTATACAGAGATGTTGCCTTTGCCTACAAGGAGGAATTAAGAAAATCAAAGCTCGACTGCAGCCAAAACTAGCAAAAGCTGATAAGGACAAAGAGAAAGGCTATTCTAAGGACATCAGGAACACAAGAAAGACTAAGAAAACTTTAGGGTCACTGTTTAGTGACACAGGTGAGAGTGGTGGGTGCTTGCCAAGCCCCACCCTTGGCAGAACAGTCTGGATAATAACAAATGTGAAGATGGGAATCTGTGTGTGTGAATCAAATATGACAGGATACCAGAATCAATGTCTGACAGGGCACAGGCCCAAACGTGGTCATGTTACAGAGCAAGAGGCTTGTCAGTTACATTAAACAGAAACTACGAAATTAGACAGAAGAACTTGTTTGAAGTAAGGGAGTCTTCTTGAAAATAAAACCAAAATCAACAGTGACAGTAGTAGTAACTTTGGAGGGATAACATGATCAGTCAAACCCCAGTTTGATGCTGTCAGAAGTCCCCCAACTGATTGTATGATATCTGTCCAGGCTAAACCAATGCAGCATCCCTCCTAGTGGATACAAGATCCTGAACTCCTGCTAGCAGGTGGTCAGTACAGGGAGCGTCAGCACACATCTTAAGTGTGTGAATGTGAGCTTGTTAGGTATGCTCTCACTGGCATATTCATTAGGACATAGCACAGCACATATTAGAGAACAGCACAGATATACACAACTTGGAGTGTCCACATCTCCAGCAGAAATCATGTGCAAATAGGGGACCCTGAAGTTGAAGAAAAGAACAGTTAAACACCAGCCTAGAGAGGCTGTGAAATGTCCATCCCTGAAGATGGTAAAAGCTTAACTAGACAAGGCTCTGGAAAACCTTTTCTAATTCACAATACTTTGGGCAAAGGGTGACCTCCAAAGAATCTTCCTAAAAGAAAATATACGTTTCTACACTTATTATTGTTCTCAATTTTGAAACTAAACCTCCATATATGCTTTCTTTAATTAGCTGTTTTAATATTTCTTCAAGGGTCTTGTCACAATTTCTTCCATTCCATTTAACTTTTAATTAGGCTGATGTATGTCAGAGTATTTAATTTCTTGTTACAAAGTTCAGTACTACAGAAACCTAGACATATTGCTAATATGCTGATTAGTCTAATACTATAAATATCATTATGTTACTTCTCAGGAAAATATAAGATATCAATACTTCACATACATGCAGAAATACTTCTGGGATGTTTCACTTCAATAACTTTCTGACTACACAAAAAGTTATTTTCCTGCATGGTACATGATGATTTTAAAAAATTAAGATTTTAGCTGAGGGTTAGAACCAATTTATATTGAAGTTAGATACACCAATGATAGGTTAATGATTATTAGATGCTTAAGCTAAAGCTAATTGTTATATTATGAACTCATTTATAGAAGGAAGTGGAGCAAGTGAACCATTATAGGAACATATTGAAAACAGTAGAACAATGCCCAGCACCTGGACTCTACGTTAATCCATCATGAAGCAGGGGGCTTCAGACCATGGCAGAGGGTAACAGAGACCTGGCAAAGACCTTCCTGACTTCATCCCTGGGACCACTGACCCAATTCAAGACTACTGACCCAATTCAAGAACAGAATTGCACATGTATGAAGTACTAATAACCTCATTTTAATACAAAGTGAGGATGGGATGTGCTGGGGTGATGCATATGCATTATTATGGGAAATAAATAGAAAGCAAAAATCCTTGTGTGATGCAGTTACACATTTCGGGGATGACCCTCCCCCCCTCCCCCGTGCCACCTGCCAGCATAATGAACATACCACTTTCTGACTTTAACTAGTTTCAGTTTTAATGATTCAATGGGATAAAGAATTTTGCTGCAGGATGGGATAAAGAATTTAAAACATGCTGTCACATTAGAATTTTCATAAAAAATAACTAAAGAGACAAATATAACCAAGACAAAACCAGACAAAGAACAGTTTGCTATTGTTATTTTATGGTTTAGAAAGATAGATACAAAAGGAAAGAACACTATAATATCTGCTGCATTTACAGTTAAAAATTCTTGAGGCATGCCCATTTCATGCCTAATTCTATAGGCATGGTAACACATTGTATTACACAACTGATGAAGTCACATCCTGTTGCGTTTCATTCCAAAACACAGAAGTGTCTGAAGTCCCCAAACAAAACAGAAGACCTATGACAAAATCTGTCAAATGCCCTCTCATTTGTCTTCACTTCCGGCATGTATACATTTTATCTCTTCCACAAGTCTTTGCTGTCTAGTCTTCTTCATATTACCTTCTGACTAAAGGTTCTCCTTGTTTCTTTTTTACTTACCAGAAAAAAGTCTGATTTGTCTTAGAGGAAAAAAATAAGCTACACTACAAGTTCAGGGCCTATCACTTACTGCCTTCCTGGGTGTATGCCAGCATATTTGGCATTACATACATAGGATCCAGATACCTTAGTGTGAACAGGCTATAAATAACAGACCAAAATTCCCCTTTTTTCCAAGATCAGTAAAATTCACCCGTGTAGACACCATCTCTGTATAATAGATTCAACAACAAAGAATGACACTTCTCTAGAACTAATGTCTTTCAGAAACAGAATATGAATGCAAAAGTATTAGTACTACAACAGTTGCATTCATAATTGAGAAGGAGCATAATCATATTGGCAACCACAATCTTTTTGCTCGATCTTCAATCTTTGTCTAAGTAAACTTCAAAGGAGACAAAGTAAATAGACATAGAAAAATTTTAAATTATGCAAGACAGATGTAAGAGTCTTCTTCAGAAGAAAGACCCCATACAAGGGTACTCTTTTTGCAATTAATGTTTGCTCATAGGTCCAAAACCACCCATGCAAGAAAAAGGGCTGCAGGATCACAGGGTGACCATGACCCAACAAAGGGACATGTAGGAAGAGATAGAAATACATTAGGTTTTAATGCACTGAGAAAGAAATAGACTGAGTTTTAAAGTGATAATGAGTCCTTAAAAGGACTCATTTGAAATTTTCATTCAGAATAACCTAAGAACTATTACCACAAAAGAGCTGCTACTATGAGTGAAAGAGGCTAACATTAAAGAGAAAATGCAAAGACTGAGAAAAACATATAATTACAATCTGCCAAAACATTACAGTGCTTACCACTATCTTGGAGGCAAAGTTATTCCAGCTGATGAATAGTGTTTCTGTTTTAAGAACCTGTTCATCTCTAATCATGGCCCACTTCAAAAAGTGTTAGCATAAAGTTTCTGCTCTGAGTGGACAGGCTTACGTTAGCTTTTTCAGGAAAAAAACTTACTCTTTAGACAACTGCATAATTCACCCCCTTAATGCAATGTATTTGCAGTTTATTTGCTGTTTTAAAATCTGAGAAATACAATTTCTTAAGAGTTCATTTAGCAATAGAATTACAATTCCTTAGAGGGAGTTGAAATCCCTCAGTTTGTTGGTGTTAGGAAGTTAGAGACCAACAGAAAGTCCCCAGTTAAAACAATCAAAAAGCCATCATGCAGCTTGCAAGAGTCTGCAAGTGCCTGATGAACCCATGAAGTGTAACAGTGCCTGACTAGCATTGGCACACATAAAGCATTGCAAGACAGTCAATGTACTAAAAGCATCCTACAGCCCTGTAGAACTACGAGACGCCTCCAGACCTACCAAGCTATCTTTGGTGACCTTCACCAGTCTTTGCAAATTACCAAAATTCCAAAACAACATCTTGCAATTTTAAGTGGTGGCAACTTGTTTTATGAAGTATGAGTTCTCTGTCAGTCAGTTGCCAACAGCTGCAACTGGATATACCATTACTGCAAAAAGTATATTACATACACAATATTATCATCAGTTACAGGCAGCATCTGGAAAGCTCTTATAATGGTGACTCGCCAGAGGATCTCTCAGGGCACAATATAAAGCATACATAACTTTCAGAAAAGCAGCCTAACACAGATTGACTTTTCTAGAATCAGTGCTACTACAAATGCTGAAGATCCAGGAACAAACTAAGAATTCAAATGGAACTTTAAAACATAAGGGGGTGACAGTACTAAAATGAGCACAATAAAAAAAAAAAAATATGAAAACACAAAATAAAAAAAAACCCACAAGGATCTTCCAGAAGTGTTTACTCTAAAATGAAGAAAGCATTGTTTTTATACTATCAGCTTATTCAAAATTAGTACCCTTTCTGTCATTTTGCAAAAGAATGATTCATTGCTCATTAAAAAACCAAACACTGTTGCTATACTGAAGCTCCACTTTTTTTTTTTAATGAAATGGAGTGCCCCATGGTAACAACCCACATTCTGTAATAAGATGCAACTATTTAAAATATTTTTCCCCCATCAATTTAATAGACTCCTACACTCTTTCCTACTCATGCTATGGTTACAGTACAACGAAGAAGAGCTACTGCAGCAAGTGAAAAAAAATTGTCCTGGGTACCTCTTAGAAGAAACAGCAGTTGGAGGAAACTATCAGCTGACATCATTCCTACTGACTAGTTCTCTGTTATGGTATCAGAGTTGGTAGGCTTAGAAACACCTATGTCCACCTGACCTTTCTTCTGTAAATACCCCGTCACCTCTTTCCTTAAAGCAGACCTAATACTGCTATCTTAGCTCAAGGAAATGTGAACTTTAATATCACCTTCACAAGCAAACAGTATTACTTACATAAACTATCTTGCAGAGCATGTAATGCATAAACACAAACTGTCCTTTACATACAATTACATGTTACCTAGTTTCCAGATATTAAGAAAATCTAATTACTGTCTCAAAATGTACTTTTAGCATTTTTTGTAATGCTACTGGACTGATACATTACTATCACCATACATTTTCACATTAGGATCTTACAAACAACAACACAGTATCAAATCTGTTAGTTATTTCTTAGCCTCTGCTTACATTATGTACCAGAGCTATTCAATTATGTATGATACTGATCTAAGTGGTTTTTTGGTATATGCACATGCCAACTTGTGTGCTATGTGAAAATCTAGACCTTAATAAGCTCTACAGATCCTCACTACACAGAGTCTAACCAGCACTTTCTGAAAGCTTACATGTATTAAAGTACTATGCCAACTTCTGAGAGAATGAGACTTTAAAAAAAGCTCCTCTGGAGTCAATTCATGTGAAATACTGGTGTTTAGGTCAACAAGCTACACCTGACACATTTCACACAACCATCTTCTATTCACACGTTTCCAGTTACAGCCAAGAATTCAGTTCAGGTAAGACTGACTTCACAATAAGCTAAATACCTCCAAATCAAAGTAACAGAAAACAATAGGAAAATTATGTCATGTACGTCAAACAATTTTGTACTGCTAAGGCATCTTTTATCTATTCTTACATCATCACTAAGCAATTACATTAATCGAGGAAGCAGATGTATATTAAGAGGGTAACTGTTTCTGGGCCACCATACATTTAAATATATCATTTCACAATCAAGACACAATGAGCATTTAAAGAGCTCAGACAAACACTGATTTAATATTATACTTTGTAGCAAACCTCTCACCTCGCATCTCTAAAGATGTTTCACCCTAATAATGATATTTTGAAGGGAGAAAATTGATCCTAGACCTTCCTAATTTCAAGCAAAAAATGCCTGTAGCTCTGTCTAAAATGAGAAAATCACTGAGTATATAATATAACAGCACTACTTCATCTACAAAATATTTTTATTATCAGTGAAATTCACAACACTGCCCTTCAAAGAGTCACGCTAGGATTCAAACTGAAAATCACTTATAACACATTGAGCAGACCACAGTCCGGAGCTGCTTTTGGGCTCCTTCCAAACTCATGAATGTGCTCATCACTCTTATCATCCTCAACAACGTTATTTACAATTATCGCAATAGGGTATGCTAAAAATAAAACAGCGTGCTCCAAAATAAATTTTAAAAAACCAAAGGACTAAGCATCAGCAAGAGTGACCGACTCCGTGCGCAGCTCGCTGCAGAGGGGGCACGCCCTACTGTTCCGGGAACAGCGAAGCCGCCGTAAGTGCTCCGAGGAAGTAGGAGAGAGAAAGGCACCGGAATACACACAGCTGTGATTTCTGCACAAACTCCTTTTTCCCCTCATTCCGCCGTTTCCACTCAGCCCCCAAGGGGCGCACGGAGCTTCCCGGGGATCGGAGGAGGGATCGCGCCCGGCGAGCCGCAGCAGCCGCCCGAAGGGCTCGGGCCGGGCCGGGCTCGGCTTCCCCCGGTCCGCCCGCACGGAAGGGGCCGCACGCTGCCGCCCCGAGCTCCTGCGGCTGCTCGCCGACCTGACCGACGAGTTCCGGCTGAGCCGCTCCTCCAAACCTGAAGAACCGGGTTCCCGCCCCGCTTCGTCCCCGCGTTTTGTGTCCGTGACACCTTCCTCCTCCCGGCCCTCGCCCTGACCCTGCCTGGGCCCCACAGAGCCTTACCTGCGGGCCAGCCTGCCGCAGAACCGGGACGCTCCAGGAGGGACGGGAATTGTTTCACTCTTCCCTCCGCCACTTCCAGGGGTGTGGGGGGCTCGCAGATCCCGGAATCACTTCAGGCTCCTTCCTTGCCTCTCTCCCTACGCCTGGAGATAGGGGAATGCTGGCAGAAGCCGCCCCAGGGCAACCACAGTGCCCGTCAGACGCGGACCGCCCACGGGCCGCGACAAGGGACCTGCTGCCTCACCTGACGCTCTCCACCGTCCCCTACCCCCGTTCCCGTGAGGGGCCGGGGAACCCGAGCTGCAGGCAGAAAAGCCGCTCCGCTCCAGGCCGCCCTTCTCTTCCCCGCCCCGCGCGCTTGCCTCCTCCCCTTCAGCGCCAGGCGCTTACGGCCACATCGAGAACTCGAGTGAGAGACTGCGGCAAATTTCAAACCGCCTGCAGGGCCCTGCGGAAGGAAGAAGGGGCCGGCGCTGAGCAGAGGGAGAGAAAGCGAAAGCCCGACAGCCAGACTGCGGTAGACACCGAGACCCACGCTGGCACCGGCAGCACCGCACTGGCCCGGCCCCCGCACAGGCCGGGGGCGCAGCGCGCAGGCGCTGCGGAGGAGAGGGCGGGAGGCCCGCGTGCGCAGAGCGGGCGCGGCTGCGGCGCCGCGGGGAGCCGCGCTGGGCGGCGCCGCGGGGAGCCGCGCTGGGCGGCGCCGCGGGGAGCCGGCCGAGCTGGGCGGCGCCGCGGGGAGCCGGCCGAGCTGGGCGGCGCCGCGGTGAGCCGAGCTGGGCGGCGCCGCGGTGAGCCAGCCGAGCTGGGCGGTGCCGCGCCCCGCCCGGTCCCGCTGCCATGGCCCTGGCGGCTGATGGGCTGCGGGAGTTCCGGGTCGGCGTCAGTGACTGCGTCCTGTGGCGGCCTTTCAGCCTAGGGAAGGCGAGGAGGCGATCGGAAGGAGCAGCGCCCGCTTCTCCTTTCCTCAGCAGGCAGCGAAGGGAGGGGGTCGTTGTCTGTAGCGTGTCGTACTGCAGTGCGCGCTCTCCGCCTCGCCCCCCCTTATCACCGGGCAGGCTGGCTCACTCAGTGCTGTGGCGGGTCTGAGACCGCCTGCCTTGTGCTTCGTTCCCGGGTTTGGCTGGGGCTTGTTTTTATTGCTCGGCCTTCCCCAGGGAGCGGCCGTGCGAGAGCTCCGGGAGACCGTGGCCGCCGCTGGAACGGCGGCGCGTCTCGCCTGCATCAGCCGCGGCGGGCTGCGGGGAGTCGCCGTGCTCGGTCGTGTGCCCAGCTCCCACCGCCTGCACATGGCACAAGAGCGTTTCGGAAGATTTGCTGGATGGGTGCCGGACAAGGTTTATTGAGTAAAAATCGTTCGTGGACATTGGCATCTTCGCTAAACACGACCAGACTTCTGTAATATCAAAATTTATATACAAGTAGCCGGCATAATCCCCAAGGATAAAATACAAGTGAAAAAGAAATTATTGTACCATCAGATATATTGCGGTTTATACACAGACAGTCATGAAAATTGATGAGATTCTGCTGTGAGATAGACTTGGGATCACACGGGTAGTAATTTGCTTTCCAACACCTCTGTAGTTAAATGCAGGGTGTCTTAAGAGTGTAGAGATAATTAGAGGAGATGGCATTTTGTATGTTGGAAATCACATGGAAATGAAAAAGCACTGTTAAAATGACAAGCATGGTGGTAAGACTCAAAAACATGCACCAGATGGAGTTCAAATGTCTTACTAAAATAAGCTTCAGTGGATATGCACAAAGTAAGGAAAAAGGGATATACAAATTATTTAAATCTATCAAAGGAGATGTATAATATATTTCTTGTGTTTCATTAGTATTTTATAATTATCTGTATGAGAAAATCTACACTCTCTCAGTCTTTTTTCCTCATCTGATCATACAGTATAGCCTCACCATCCTTATTTTTAACATCACATTAATTTCTGTAGTAATAGAGGATGATCTCGCTGGAGGAAGGTGAAGTAAAAAGTTTCTCATAGACCATCTATAGAAAAGATGAAAAAAGGTATTGGCTTGAAACCTTAGTTTTTATTTTATATTTATTCTTGCAGAAAGACACACCTGCTGATTTTCTGGGCTTTGTGAAGAATCATCATTAAAAACATCTTGGGCTGTTTTGGTTTGCCCTAGCTGGTGGGAGGAGTCTTTTATTCATTCTTGAGTAGAGGGTTTGTGTAGAGCGTTCTGAAATGTGGCATGTCCCAGGTCTTTTTGGGATCTCTATTAATTTATTCCTGTTAAAGAGAATTTTTTTTTGATCATTTGTACATTCTTCTACAATTAAGTGTTGATTTTTTTTCATACTGCTAGTCTTTTGATATCACAGACTGCACATTTTTCTTTAATGATGCAGTAAAATGTATATCTCCTTGAGAGCAGGCATGCATTTTTGTCACTTGAAAGAGCAATTGTTTGCTTGACTGAAAAGCAGTGTACAGTGCAGTTAAAACAGGCAGTGGTACAGGATGGCACAGTAGCAATTCTGAGTTCAGCATTTTAAATTAATTGCTAAACGTGTTATATACAGTTTCATTATAAATCTTCAATTAGAAGCCAGAAAGTGAAAGTTATGTTTGAATTTTTGCTATGTAATGGCTCAGTTACAAAAGAATCAGTTATGAATATGCCTTGATTAAATTGTTACTGAAGCTAGGATAAAGCTTGCTCTATTAATAGTGAATTTCAGCTAAAAATAAGTAAAGGAATAAATTAAGTATCACTGGATCTGTCTTTGAATATTTTTTTTCTTCACTGTTGTTGTTTTATACAGTAGGTTAATATAGATCCCTTATCATATGTAATTGAACTTGCTGATTTACTGTCTCCCATTTCTCTGGAAATCTGTCTCTAAAACTGTTTAGCACAATTAAGGTGTTCTATGGGTGGACTCTTACTTAGTCCTTTTCAGAGTGATTATCACCTAAGAAATTATTTCTAGGATGAATCTGTAAATCAGTTAAATGGAATACTTTGAACTATGTCAATTTTCTATAATAATATGTGTGCAGTTTTAAAAGATTTTGTCACTGTAACAACTTCTATGAGAGAATAAACATATTTACCTCTGCAATGTTTTCTATTTGTGCAGTTCTGAATATCTGTTTTGTTGGTCCCACACTTTAGCATTTCTAATTTTCCCTTTAATCTTTTGTTTCATGATTATTGCACTTTCTGATTAAAAATGTAATAGTGTTGCACACATATAGGATCATAGCATAACTTAATGCTTGATGACAATCTATTTTCCTTTCTGTGTCCTCTCTATTCTTCTCTCTCCCACTCATCCCTTTGTGGAAAGAATAACTTCCAGGTATTAATTTAACTGGCAGATTGTTTTACTGAAGAAGACTCATTTATATAAGAGCATTTAAAGAAATTCTAACAACCTCATCAAATTGTTTCTGTCATTTCCATTTTGTGTCCTTCCTTTCCAGTAGTTTCCATCTCCTCAGTTCAGATGCCATCACTCAGCAATTCATTTGACACAATTGAACAAACTTTATTTTTTTCTTTTTCCTCCCCAGCTGTAGTAGATCCTCTTTTGGAGATTCTCTGTATTGTTAGCAATTGCTTGTTCACCCTTCCCCACAAAAAGGGTGTTATAATGTGGGGTATTGTGTTTGTTAAAAGGTGATAATGGTTCTGTTTACCAGAAAGGCCTGTAGGAGGGCACAGCAGCAGGCTGGGTGGTTAGAAGTCAATTGCGGGGGGGGATAGACACATGGACAGGTGGGTGGTGAGATGCATGGACAGCAGCATTGCAGTTGAGCAGCCAATAGATGCCCTTCTTCTGTTAAGTTTTGGTTATGTCCGGTGGAAGCTAAAGGTATATAAGGGAGGTGTTTTCTACAATCAAGTGATTTCCTTTGTATGCACAAGGGGGTCCGTGTGTCTTTGTTTCTCATTGCTACGTTATAATACTCCCCTGTGACAGGTGGAAAATCAACTTTTTGTGTCTACACTGGAAATTAAGTGTAAACTGCTTTTGTAATGTAGGGAGCAAGTCTTGCTTTTTTATTTGTTTTGCTTTTCAAAACAATTATTGGATGTGCGTACAGGAGCTTCTGCCAAGCCCTTTCAGTCTTGCCCTCCATCGCCTTTTGTTAAGAGTTTAATTTCTACTAAAGATACATTTCTGTCATCATATATAGCCACAAATACATATTAAATCAGTGTTTTCAATCCCAGCATTGATATGTTTTTTTCAAATTTCAAGAGGAAAAGAAACACAAAAAATGCCTTTTTTTATGTGACCTTTTGTATGTGATCTTCTCTCCACCATTTTTTTAACTCAGAAATTATTAGAATATCTCTACAAAATCTTTTGAATCTTCCACAGAATTTATTGGAATGTAGAGGGACTACTGTCAGACTTTACAGTTTTTGCATACATATAACATTCACCAAGTTGTGGAAAAAAAACAGGCATTCAGAATTCCCAGCTGTTTTTTGTGGACATACACACATTTCACAGCTGTTATTATAAACAATGAAGTTCTAGGTACTGCAGAATGAGTGAGATTTAGTTTTTCCTTTTACCTCATTTTCTTTAGCACTGGAAAAATCTGTAGGATACAGTAGGAATTATGTACATTATATATGCATTTTGATGGGGTTTGGTGTTCTCTAGCAGTAGAACTGCATGAGTTTCCATTCAGTTCCAATCCATTGCATCCTCAGCAGGAAAAGAATTAGGCTGCCTGTTGAATAGCTGTGGGTAGAGGTAACTAAAAAATTTGTATTCCAATGTTTTCCAAAAAAATCTATACAACTAAGTAAATGCAACCTTTTTTAGAAAATTTCCATTTAAACACAGATTATTTAATTAACCAAACAATTGAGAACAATGTTCTCGATATTCTAGATTTTCACTGTTTTGGTAATTTTTGTGTGCGTGTATTGGTTTATTTCTGTATTTGGAGTATTTTAAATCTTTCAGAAACAAGGTAAGCACTAGAATAATGTGATTTATGTTTAGAATGTGTTTATAGGAAGATTTTTTTTTAATTGCTGTGGATCAGTATCCATGAGTCTTATTTTGAAAGACAGGTGTCTGCCAAGGAAGGTGGGAATCTCCCTTGGAAAAGAAAATGTGACCCCCTTGTTATAAATGGGAACATACTCCCAGTATTTAACTGATTTCAGCATTTTTTATAAGGCCTAAAGCTTAGGGGCCCTGCAGGTCGAGCAGGGGCGTTCCCATCAAGGATGCTGCAGCGCCGGCACTGGATCTTCTTCCTTTCTTGAGCAGTGATGTTCCCGATGTTTTGGGTGGAGTGGCACAGTCTCACTGGCTCAGATGCCCCCTTTTAGAGTGTTTCTTGTTCCTTTGGATTGGTTTCTGTTGGGATCCTTCATTTGCGTGAAGGTTAAGGTGCTTGATTGGCCCTTACACTTCCATCCAGGCTGGCTCATTTTGGCTTGGGGAGGGGGTTGGTGCACTTTACTTAGGTGTAATACGGGACATTCAGTACTATATTTCTTATAACTATCCTTTTAACCTCTTTTACAACATAATAACCAAACTTTTTAACAGTGCATATTTAACAATTATAAACTATTTTACAACAGTTTCTAAC